ACGTCTTACAGGTCTGTTTTCCCCCCAATGATTTCCGTCCACAAGATTTGCCAAGTAAATGCTGACATTCCAATTGTGGGCCACGCAAGGCATGTACAATGTCCGAGACATTCCGATACCATGACATGCCACACGGAGAACAGCCTAACCTCTTTTGAGGGCCCGTGTCTTCTGACACCCAACATCGGATGACAAATTCCGCGGCATGGTGACAGAAGTTACAATGAAGAATGCTCCAGCAAATGAGAAGCATCCGTTTGAGCCGGGGCGTTCCCTTGCAACTCAAGCGCAAGCTGAACCGTGCTACAAGTCTGTTGCCGAAGTCCCCTGTTCCATTCGGCCCATTGCAGAAGGTCATCTCACTGTGTCTGGTCAGTGAGTGCCCGGGACACCACGTGTGCAAGCACAACCACTTCCAGAGACCGGTTTCCGCGGGTCTGGGCTTGGATGTGGTTCTGATCTGGGCTTGCTCCTGCTCTCGGCCAATGCAAACAGAGAGGCAAACAAGGAAGCTGCAAGGTACTAAATATTTAGAAAAGGCATTGCTTTCAAATCTTACAAAAACCAGATTTGCAGGGAGCCGCCCTACGTCTGCCAAGCAGCGCATGCATGTAAATATATTTACTGTTCAGGACAACTGGGGCCAAGGCTTGTTCCTTGGCTTTCAGCTTCGCCATGCGCACCTTTAAATCTGCATGGAACATGAAGCAGGCTGGATGAGGATGACATATGATGACATGTGCAACCAGCTGCACAGCAACTCCCCCGCCTGGCCATTGAAACCCGCCTCGTCACTGAATGCCTGCCCATATGATGCACGCTCCCGTGGGTGGTGAGCGCCTAATCTTCCTGGCCCTCTGAGGGAGAGTTCTCCGTTTCCCCTCCCGACAAGAGACGGACCCCCCGCCCCTCTCCCCCAAAGACCCCTTCCCCCCACCACCGCCACCCCAAAAGCCCATTGGAGTCTTGGAATCTTATGCAATATTTCGGGAATCTTGGTCACATTTAATACGAACCCTTTTTGCTATTTAGAACCCTTTTGCAATCGATAAGAATCTTATGAAAACTCGTACGAATCCAACTAAAACTAAAGCGAGAGGGAGGGGGTAGTGGTGAGGGGGTGGGGGGTGGTGACAGGGGGGGGGGGGGGGGGGGGGGGGGGGGGGGGGAGGGGGCGGTGACCCCCCCCCCCCCCCCCACCAAGGACATCCTCTGACTGGCACATGAAGCCCAAGACGGAAATTCCCAACGAAGAGATGGCAATCCACCACCAGAATATGATGCTTTTGGTCTTGGGCCGTGACCTCGCCATTGTGCACCTCCGCAGCCTTGCGATGATAGAAGATACGTCCATCCGGGCTCACCAATACCTCAGGAGATCACACGACTATACACTACTATACAGTAGCAACTACGACGTAACTACGACACACTACGACTACGTGATGCCATGCGAGAGCAAAAAGAGACCCGCTGAGAAGACTTGTGACGGTAATGGCACCTTGCATCGATTCCAACCGTGCAATATGGCAAATATGTGCCAGTACACACAAGAATATCACAAGAGTGCCCACAGCATCCAAGACTCTGACAGTTCAGCTGGAAGACCCTTCATCCCTTGGGAACTGTGTTCAGCCGAAAAACTGTATAAGTTCCACCACCACCACGGCTGCGCGCTATGCGGTTGGTACACTGCCAGGCAAAGGCAAGTGCAATTGCGCAGCACAGGTTGAAACCCGAAGGAGAAGTGACTATGTAGCTGCCACTCACATGCAGGCGCCTTGACACCTTGACCCCAGTCGTCTGGGAGCCACTTGGGACCTTGGGGGTCACCGGTGTCGTGCGTCATGCTCGTCGAGTTGGGCGTCAGACGTTTCGACTATCGGGGACTGTTGAAGTCCAAACAGTCTCGAGGATCACATCGGCTTGCAAGGGAAACTCAAAATTTCGGCTCTTCGATTATGTTTGCTTGCTGAAGTGGCGTCGTCTGAACAGGGACGGGTACGGGATCGGGTTTTGGGGCCAGGTTTGTTTGTTATACTAGGGGTGTTTTAATATTAGGGGGAAGGGATTACAAGACGACTGAAGACTTGCACCCATTTTAGCTTGAGAGAGGAGAACTGACCAGAGGACAAGATGAGTCTTTAGTTCCTTGTTTTTGCTTTGCATTCACCCATTGTCTACGTACGCGCGCGCTCTTGCATGCTGCACGTGTGCCATTCGCCCACACACAGAGTGACCAGCGACTCACTGCATCCTGTTCGCAATTGGTTTACCGCATGACCTGCATTTACCGTGTTTTGATGCTGTTGTCCCGGATAAAGCCAGTAAGTACTTATGTAACAGGAAACCCCTTTCCAACTGGTTGCAAGACTGGCTATGAACTGAGGAATGTGTGATCATATCATGTTAGAAAGTTTTTGCTCACACAAGCAGCTAACAGACATGATTGCCATGTCGAAGAAACCGTTCCAGGCATCGAGCCTTTTCTGACAAGGTTCCTTTCCGACAGCGATTTCAGATCACATTCCGATTTCGATTTTCTCCAACCTTTTCTGCAACGACTTCCCCCAGATCATTGCTACACCAAGGCGATCCTTGAAGCTCTTGTTTCTGGAGCCGTGTGTGCACAGGCCCTCGGTTAAAAGCAGCAGGGCTATGTCACACAGAGGCCTGCCCATGTGGCGCTGGCAGAGAAGATCATGAGCATCTATTCCAGCTTAGTTCTTGAATGAAGTGGTTGCTAGTTTCCCTTGCGCTACGAAATGCCATGAGTGATTTCATTTGTGACGGTCGGTGGAAGTGGGGCACGAAGAAAACCATTGAGCGAGTAAGCTGGGTAGTGCTATGTGCAGATTTCACTGCTAGGTATGGCTTTTTTCCCGGGTTCTTCAATAGGTCCATGTCTCTTGGGGTGGTTCTCCGCAGATTTCGAGATCTATTTCTGTCTGTTCTTGCCCGGCACCATGTTTCAGCTGATGTCATGAGTGGAATGCGACACGCCAAGAGCTTGGGCTTCGGTCAGCTAGGTGGTATTTCTGTCGCCCGGCAGTGCTCTTTCCCAATGCACATAACGAGTTGGTGTCTTGGTATCTCCCGACAGTTGCATTCCCTTCAAAGTAAAGTTCGAACAAAGCCCTTTGCATCTATCACTCCATCATGGGAGGAACTCTGTGTTTCCCAAGCAGATCAGATTTGAATTCGACCTAATTCGGTCGTTCGGCTCTACGCCTCTTGACAAGATTCCAAAGGCTCGCGAGGCCAATGGATAGAGTGGGTAAAAGAGGAATGTGTGATCATGATGGTCCTTACGGCTTCATGGCTACTAGTACTAGAAAGGCCCCATTGGTCATTGAGGGGTGACCATGGGCTAGTCAGTTCGTCCCCGCGCAAAACAGGACCCGAGAGTCCTGAGTCTTGCGAGAGCGGGCACCTAATTGCGGAAAAGTTCGTACGGAAAACTACGTGTACCTTTTTTGGTTTGCCGTGTCCATTCACTGCAAGTCACGATGGAAGTCGACGATGACTTCCTGCCCAGGTCATGAGACACGACACTGCGCGTCTGACATTGGGCCTTTCCGGGCCTTTCCCCCATCCCATGAATCCCATGGCCTTTCCCTCCTTGGTGCGCCAATTCTTCGGGTCAACGGAGTCCTTGTGGAAATGAAGAGGGTAGCCAGCCCTTTCTTCTATCGGCACCTGTCATACTCAAAAGTATCCCACACACTGGCATCTTGACAGCCCAGCTATGATGTGATTCCAACAACAACGAGCCTCACGCATGACTTCGTCGTGGGATTTTGTCCTTGGCAGATGGCCAGCCGGCTAGCTCTTAAGCAGCTGAGATGCGGCAGTGCTCAAGCTTGCCGCGCCCCTTGATGGGCGAGCATCACGAGTGTGCGTAGCAGCATTGGCTCCATTTTGAACACGGCTGAGCGGCACTTTGTCGTATGTGAGGTCGGTGCGCCCACCCTGCACTGCCAGGGTATGTCAGGGCCACTGCTGCGCCCAGGACTCAGAGCAAGCTTTGGTGCGAGGATACGTCAATGTGAGGCTTTGTGAGTCTTGGTACAGGCAGTCCTTCTCCTTCAAGAGAGCCTTGTGCGAGGCCGCGAGGCAGCGCAAAAACTTCAGAAGACGGCATATGGCAGGTGCGAATGGAATGTCCCAAGCAGTAGCCTGCAGGGCCCAGCGAAGGTTTCGCCTGTCAACCTTAAGCACCCAGCTTACACTTCAGTTCAAATCCCAGATGTCATTCAACTTCTAACTGCCGAGCAACTTGCATGAGGCTGAGGGGATCTGAGGAGTGAACACGAGGCGTGAGGGGCTTCTTGCTTGTCTTTCTTGTCTTTGAAGCCTTAATGTGGGTGTTTGCAAAACGGTGGCTTTTCGAACGCTTCGCTCGGGCCGTATATGAGGTCGCCCGCCGTCGCCTTCCTCTTCTGCAGCTTCGGCTTGCCCATCCTGAGGACACCGCAAGTCTCTCGGCATTCTCTCGGCTCTCGAGCCTTTTCTCAGATTTTCATATCATATGACTCACTGGTGACTGGCCAAGCCAAGAAATGTCCCCACTGAGGCACCGGCGCTGCAGATGCTTCTTTCCAGTTCGTACACTGGTCGCGGCCCTATTCCCTTATGGCTGCTAAACTACCTCCCAGAGCTTCTAATTTCGTGGAATCATGAGGCTGTAGTAGCATGTACCATGATTTAGCACAGAGCTCCTCTTGGACTTGATCCACATTATGACGGCTGCCTGCCAACAACGCAAGGCGTTTGCATTCATGGTGTACGAGGCAAAAGTCCAACGTCTTCCCGCTCATGTCCTTAAAGCCACACTTCCTGTTGCAACTTTCAACTTCTTGTGGGAAATCATTCTCCAAACTAGGGGTGCTCTGAAATGAAGCTTGGCGTGCAAGTCACTGCACAAGCCATGGGCCATGGGCTAGGTGGAACACGTAGAAGCTGCGCAAAATCAAACATTCAGGAGACAAGGAGGGAGCCTGCCGACCAGAGCCTTCCCAAAGGAGATTCGAATGGCTCGAACCCTCAGACTCAGCAACAGAAACTGCACATCTTCGCATATCTTCGTGCCTCCGAGCGTTCCAGCTCGCTCAGAAGCAGCCGTAGCCTGCGACGTGATTGCCAAGCTCGCCGGCAATCGCTCGAGTCGGGCAAGCTCAAAACCCAGACCGAGGAAAGCACCCATGCTGCCAGCCTCTGCCAGTTGCCTTCACTTGGGATTGTCCAACTGTGAAAAGATCTTTGCCGACGTTCGCCGTATCCGCACGAAAGCGGCTTCTTGCGGCGCATTTTGCCCACCTTGCAGGCTCCCTGAATTTCCCGCGTCAAAGCCACTACCTCAGAAGTGCACAGCGCCTGTACCGCTACAGTACCTTGCCTACAAAACACCTCAAGGTTACATGCTGAGAAGAGCTTTACAACATGCCACTACAGAAGCTAGTTTAAAGTCCGGCATTGAACTTTGAACTTAAACATGTAGCGAATGAAATGCACCTGTGCCGGCGAGGCAGCCCTAATTGACCTATGGAGTCCGTGGTTCAAAGTTCAGGGTGACGAAGTCCCCAGCAGGCACGACTAGTCGCAAAAGCTTGAGAGCATGGCGAACGAAAGCTAGTTCCCTCGGAGAAAAGCCAGCACCGCGTGGCAGAGGCGAATTGGAAAAGAGGACGTAACGGAAAAATACGAGACACAACTGAGCTTCTGACCTAAGTGGACAACATTGAAGCGATTTATGCAATTTATGCATGTAAACAACGTGTATCCCATTTGAGCTGGTGTTGCACGCGTGAAGACAGCACATGGGCATCAAACAAAGTATATCCTCTGGTTGCTGCTGCTTGCTGGGAGCCAAGGCAACATGTGCTCGATTGTGCGCGATTGCTCGCGTAGTAAAGTTGAGGTGTCAGCCCGTGTGCCCTACTCTACATGCTTGCTGAGGCTCAGAGCAGAATCTTCCCAAAGGGAAGAGGCCGAGGTGAGGGGACAAGGCAGCAGACACTTTTCGGCAGATTTCGGGGTGTGCTATGGAATCAAAAATGAGTCAAAGGCACAGACTCACCCTGCGGATTTCATGTGGATGCCCGCAAGACTGTCTTATATAATTCGAATGCTGACTTTCGGCAGCCAAGGCCCCGGCATTGGGTGTGACTGCTGAATACCCTCGCAAAGCCCGCGCGTAGAGGAGGCCTAAGCAACGGTCGTTCGACGACATCAACAGAGACTTCAACACCAAAATGCTGTGAAACTCTATCTGAACTGTCAAGGATCCTCCAACTGCAGCGCGCATTTGGTGTCACTGTGGCTCCAACGGCCATCCATGGCCCAACGGTGCTCACCGGCTACGCATCTGTGGAGCATGAAATACTCGGATCTGCATGGGCATGCAAGCAATAGACATTCTAGATGCACCCTGGATCTGAAGAACCGCACAAATCACATTAGCAAACACGGATGCTTTTCTCGCGGTTGATCGGGATTCGGCAGGCTTCTGCCACAGGTGCCGAGTGGGCTAAATGCCAAGCGCAGGAGAAGGTAAAATTGGTGTCTCAGATCACTTGGGCAGGTATTGCCAGAGAATCAAGCCAGCCCGATAGGATCATATTGCGCAGAGGCCTGGCAAGCCAGCATCAGCAACACAAGAGCTGCTTCCCCGATCGGTCGAATGCCATGTAGTATGCTGTGAGGCTTCTTGATTAACGTTGCCAATCCTAGATTTGGCAAAGTGGAGTACGAAAAGAAATGTAAGCTTGCAACTGGCACGTTCCTGGCCAAGGTCCGGGGGATTCACTTTGAGCACAGGTCACGGAGTCGATCTTCGTGGCTGCTGTGGGTTGAGTAAGTAGGTTGTAGGTGGGTAAGTCTATGCAAGACATGACAACGGAAAGATACCAGTAGCAATATGTAGTGTACGCAGGAAGGCAAACAAAAGAAAGATGGATCTCGACAAGCTAGAAAACTGCACCAGCTAAGGCAACTAGGGGGTAAGTAGAAGGACTCAGCATGCATGAGTGGGTAGTGACGGGGGAGCAGCAAACACCGAGAACGGACTCTGGCATCCTGTGCTCAAAAGAGGTGACTATAGACTCTCTTTATATGGTCAGAGACCATCTCGGCTCCTTGGGTCACCGAGGGCCAAAGGCCATATCGGCCGTGTTCTAAAGGGGACTGGCCAATGTGGACACCCAGCGTGGCTTTCCAAGACTTGCATATGATTGAAACATGTTGAGCATTGTTAATCCTCGAGGGCCTGTCTGCGCAACATTACAAACAGCAACCTTTCAACGTCTTGCGAGACCCACGCACAAGTCAAAGAGTATTGTGCACAGCGTCAGGAACGAGTGCAGGGGAAGGTGCTGTTGACACCTGCCTGACAGCAGGTACATACAGCGTGGCAACAAAACACATGGATGCCTTTCAGCCTTCGACAGGCAGGGCCGTCGTGGGGCAAACTGGAAGTCCGGCACAAGCAATGGCAAAGAGAGGAAACAAGCTAGGCTGCAGACCGTTGTTTGGATGGAAGGCTTCTTGAAACCATCTGAGAGCACGGCTCTACGCGCAAAAGGCGCTGTCGCCGGCTTTGCGCAGGATGTCAACCTGAAAGGCTCTGCCACGCTGAGCCCATCGCTTCGACTCATACTTGGGGATGCGTGGAATGTCGAGAATGTGAATGGAGAAAGTCTTGGAGTAGAGGAGGCTCCTGGAAGACAATAGATCTCTGAGCCTAAGGTCCAGGCAACGGACTTGAACGCGAACCATTCGGGGATCTCCTGCAAACAAAATGTCATGGCATACTGGCAGTTGTGGCAGGCACCACTGTAGGCCTCGCCGGCGCGGAGACGTCGGCGGAACTCAGTGCCCGACAGCTTCACCACCTGTGCATGAAACAACGTCGTCATCCAACAGAATAGGCTGCAGCGGGACTGACTCCCTAGACGGCCCTGTCGTAAACCTCGCCGATAGCAACATCCCCAAACCTTAATCCGCAAAGCTCAAATCTGTAGCATCGCGCAATTGGATCTACAGGCTTCCTTTATCCGGCACGCACACGCCTGCTTGGAGGGACCTGACTAGCTCGGTGCAGCGCTTTTGTTTGGGGGACAAAGCCTCGGAATTGTTAGTGCGTCAATGTAAGCTAGAAGCGCTGAAAGCAAGCGCAGGCATTTCGTCAGGAGGAACACTTGGCCAGAAAGATGTGTGTGTGTGTGTGTGTATGCATAGCTCTTCTAGCTTCGAGGGTTTTGCGTTGCCGAGCATTTGTGAACTTCGTGATGCCATGGAGGCCCACAACGGCAAGACCAATTTGTTCCCGACAGACCCCCCAGAGCGCAAGCAGAGCCATCGGAGTGAGGAAAGACTCCTCTCAAGGCTCGAGACGCTCGGTGCCTTGTAGCCCTTGCTCTTGGCCACGCTCTCCTGTTTTGCACAAAGTCCACACTGAAGCAACTTACACCTTTTTGAAAAAGAAAGGGAAGAGAGAGAGAGATCCCTCTCTCTCCAGAAGCACTTGGAAATCAGCCGAGAGATAAGAAAGGTGCACTCCGACGCTTCTTTTTCTCAGCTCCATATGCCAGCATCAGCACAGGCCCCATACCTGGGTAGCAAACTGTATGGCAGCATTGAAGTCTGCCAAAGCGGTCACCACGGAGTTGTGTGTCTAGTAAGCCTGTAGTAATCAGATCATCATGGCTTATAAGAGATTTTGAAGCTCAGGGCTCATTCGCTGCAGCACGCGCTGATAGATCTCGGAGGCCCTGGGTGCAGAGGAAGGAAAGCCGTGTCCGTCAGTATGCTCCAACCTGGTCGAAGTTGACTCGTGGCGATGCTGAGCTTCGCTGAAGCTCTGAGTCAACGTCCACTCACAAGTCACTCAGGTAAATCACAGTTTTAAACATCTCTCCGGTTTTCACAAGTAACATCTCCAGGTCTGCGTACATCTTCGGGAGGCAGCGCTCGCCGTGTCGCCCCCATGGATCTGCATCGCCACCATGGACATACCTTAAGTCTGAATCAAGGGTTAGCAAGTCATTTTGGCCCAAGAATCAGAGGCTATGGGAATGGGCTACACGTGTAAAGGGGCAGGTCCACTGGTCAAGCCTCAGAGCTACGACATGCTACGACCAGGAGATCTCGTGATCTCGCACCAAGTTACAGTGCTGGCAAAGCCAAGGGCTCATCCAAGGCATAGCCTGGTCGGCGAGCCGGCAAGCTAAGGGCGGAATACAAGTACACACAAGACAAAAAGCATCATCAAGCATCTGCTGCCCACGAATAGGTCAAAGCCAGAGTAACGCGCATCATCAATCATGGCGCCGCAGAAAAGCACCTGAAAGCTGGTCTCCCGCAGTAGTCTGTAGTAGACTGACATGTTGCTGACGAATCAACCAGTGCGAGAGGAAGCGCAGGTCGAAGGCTTCTACCCGCTTCTACTCACTCGCACGTTACGGCACCTACCTGTGCTTGACAAGCCAATGTTGTTGAGCCGCGGTGAAGAGCCAGGGCATTGACCTGTTGGCCTGAAGCTTCCAATGATGATCGATGTGCAGACAACCAGCAGAAGTTTCCGCAAGGGGTCGCTGGCCAGGTATGTACACGCCTTCCGGAGGGTGTCCATATATATGGCCAGCAGCGTGCCACTTTGCGAGAAGCCCACAACAATGTCGATAGGAGCGTTTGCTTCTAAATACCTCGGATTCTCTTTGATCAAACTCGACAATCGCCCCGGCGATAAAGCTCGGCAATGAACAAAAGCCGAGCAACTTATCCAGAAATTTCACGCCCTCTTCTACGTTCTCGTACTTGGCGTCGTCAAAGCTCATCGTTCGTCCCTTGCCAGCGGCTGCCTCCTCCGTGCACTTCTGCACATGACTGTGTAGTCCGCTGTGTCAGAAGAGGATACAGAAATTTTACTTTGAATGCAATTTCTCTGGACGCAAAGATTTTCTCACCTTCAACCCCGGTTGCTTGGCCATCAACTGGTGTTTGCTTGAACCCCCAAGTCCACAGAAGGAGGAACTAGTCGCACTCTCCACTCTATGTCCGACTGCTTCTCTGGACAAGATAGGACATGCGGGCGTTTGTACGCGTTTATCTTACAAAGCTGCCCATCCACAGGCCTCCGGAGAAGGTTCAGGGTGCGAATACCACTGGACGAAGGGCTTGTCCTGAGTTCATAGTTTAAATGCACACGGTACTTCCAACGGCAACCTGTCTCGCCTAGCGCCATGCAGTGAAGAAGTGACAAGTCCAGTGGCAATATGGAATCTTCCTGTCGAGAGACTTTGGCAATGGCCTTTTCCATTGACGTGCCTTAACAGGAAATTGACATTCCATTGCGAGGAGAAAAGCACAGCAAAAGGCATCGCAATGAGTCGAAGGCATGCCGCAGCGCATTTCAAGCGATGCTTCGACTGCAGTCCCGGCTTTTACTCTCAAAATCCGTTCAAATTAATTGCAGTGGCATATTTTCACTCAGGGGCCTGTTTTAAAGGTTTTGCGAGCTTAGATCGGTGTATATGCAAGTTGCGTTCCGCCAGGTGGAGCAGCTCCGAGCCTGGAAGGGGCTTCCAAGCACAAGGCCCGTCCAGGAAGATCCACTCGAAATCCTGATCCAACGAAGTGGTTCGGATCTTGAAAAGTTGAAGCATCTGTCAGTTCAAGAGTTTTCTCACTCATGGGCATGCCGTGATACACGGATCGTGTGATGTTAGATGCAGCATGCGTGCGCCTGTCGAGGACCGAAATGCTCTTGTCTATCTTCACCCCTCATGAAATCACGGTTTCTTCTCTTGTTGCTCCTCACCAGTCAGCTTGCGCAGCTGTGCTGTCTGGAACTTCCTGAGGTTACAGACGCGCGGCACGGTGCATCGAGCAAAGAAAGCATTTTGTGACATCGCTGCCCTACAGCATGTTTTGGCGCAGCATCTGCTCTGGCACCGTGTCTTAAACAGTCTTTGTCACAGCTGGGAGGCATGATGTTTGAGTTGCTCGGAGCACCGTGCAGCGCCAGTACTCGTGGCTTTCTTTTCGCTTCCCTGAGCACGTCGAGCACGTCGAGCACAATGTTGCAAACACCAACTTCTGGCCAACGGCCTGTGACTTCAGCACGCTCTTTGACCCATATCCTCAAAACCTGCGAGGTGCCAACAGCCTCTTCATGATCATGGCTTTGTCCTTCAGCTGCGCGAATGTCAAGATTTCAAAAAAAGTTTTCAACGAAGCGAGCATGCAAAAATGTCAAAGATGATCCAAAGTCGCGCGAGTAGAGTGCGGCAGTCCTTCACCTTTAGGCTCACCCAGCCAGACTCGGGCCCGGAACCAGTCCTTATGGAAGTGTAGAGCATCTCACGTTTGTACTAGGGGTTCAGTTTTGAAATGTTTTGAGGGATGACATCTTTTTTCTTCCGTCGCCTTTTTGGTTCGCTCGCCCAGAGGATGCCAGCCGCTGCGGGTAGTAGGTGAGGCATGGTGAGGCCGCATGCATCTGGTGGATTTTGACACAAGGTTTCACGCGAGCACCTGCTGAGCGAGGCCACTCTGCGGATCTAAAGGAAGTGGTTCTAACAATCGTCGTGCGGAGGATCCGACCCTTTGTTTTAGCCCTACAGTAAATAGTCTAGGGACTAACAAGAACCTGTGCATGGGATCAGCGACATTGAATGGTGAGACTGCTGCCAACGGTCGAGCTTCAAACCATCTCTGTGTGGCACCAAAGAAAGCGGTAGGCCCCGGCCACAGCTAGGCTGGCCACAACTACTAGGGCTTCCAGAAGCATCAATCTGCCCCGATTCCCCAAGCTGAACAACTATGACACTATGTCCTGCGTGAGTGATCATGCGTGTCTTTAAAATGCGAGACATGTAGGGAATTGGTCCTTCCGTGGTGCACATCTGCGCTGTTTTGAAGACGCAGGTGTCGGGGCATGTGCTCTAATTTCGCCAAGTAACATCCGGGAGTATCTCATGCGCTCCCCATGCACTTCTTTCTCGATGATGAGTGCCCCTCGACAAGTAAATTAAAGGGCACAACTCGAAGCAAATGAGGTCGTGTCGTGAGATGTGGTGCGCACAGACTAAGCTGACAGACAGACATGGCTGCAGATGCCAGCACGCTATGCAAGACCCCAGCTGCAGTTTGTCATGTGTGCGAACCCATCAATGATAAATGACAAATGGCACAGCATCGAAATCGAAATGGTGCTCTCCTCACAGCGTGATCAACGTCCACAGCATCACCGGAAGATCATTGAAGCGACTCCCAGATGGTCCCAGGCCTGTGGAAAGGCGACCCTGCTCCGCAGAGTTGAGCTCATGGCCTTCAGAACGGCAAAAATTGCAACTGCAACTCCAAACATCATGGAGTCTGTCAATGGTGTCACAGAACCAAAGATTCGAGGCTGGAGTAGCATGCCTTGTCTGACGAGGATGCCACCCTTGTCTGTGCCACCAACGACCTGCCCCCGCCCTAGGTCCCACACTGTTTTCCGATACATTCCTAGACTCCTAGACATTCCCGCTCAACCGGCCTCCCAAACTGCAGGCATCCGCGCTCACGGTCGCAGTGCTAAGCTGGTATCGGCTGCAGCTCTGCGAACAACGGCATGGATTTTCTGGAGGCCGTGTCATCTACAGTACCCCTTGCATGTTGTATTGCTAAACCCTGAGCTTCCTCTGCTTCGAACTGATGAAGAAAGGCATCTCACGAGAGGCAAGAATCAATGCCTACCCCAACTTGGCAAGAACGACATGTTGTGCTTCAGTTCACACCTGCGGAAAGTTATATGAGAATGTACAGCGCATGTTCACTGCTTGAGCTTCCCGCAGGAAACAGATGCCAGCAGGGGTCGTGAAATATGACAGTGTCTGGTGTCCAAGCTTCGAAAGGCTCACTGGGTGTTCCATCTTGCCTGCCTTACCTTATGTTCCTAGCACAAACTCGTCGCATGAATGCAGGCATTGAAGGACATGGGCACACATGCATGGTGGGCAACATCCTGCACGTAGCCTTCCTCTGGGCCGACATAGACCTGGCCGGCAAACAGGGGCCCATCCATATACCAAAGCCCTGACTTCAAGTTGTCGTTGCCGGGTCAGTTCAGTGGGTTGCTTGCCACATGGCGCAGAGCTTTGTTCCTCAAACATGGCTGAATGAATAAAGACAAATGGCCCCGTATTCACGGCATGTCGCAACCGATGAATGCATGCTCTCGCTGTGCGAACAATACGCGAGGGCAGCCATGTTCTCGTAGTGCGTCACGGTCACTCCGAGCTCAGCAGAGTACTTCTTGCCCGTTTCCTGCGAGACCGTATGAGGACATGCTAGCGCTTGATGATAACTTCGCCGGCTGTCCTGGGCATCGTACGCTCCGTAGAAGTCCTCTCCATCGATGGTGCTCTTGGTACCTGGGGGGTTGTGGCATAGCTGCAGAGACACCCAATAAGTTAAGGGGTTGGGCCGAGGTACCCTTTGCCAGGACCAGAGGGCCCAACATGGACCCCCCATGGATCCGACAGACCCCATGACCTCCCGGTGCTGGGATTCCCGCTGCAAGCTCCTTTGCTCATGGCCTTTGAAGACGACCCGGTGCACGGGTGTTTGGTTTCAGGAAACTTTCTAGTTTGGGTCCGGAACCGCACCCCTGATCTCAAGCGACAGCAGACGTGTTGGTGACCCCTGTCCCTCATGAACCTCTGATGGACACCCCCCGCCCCCTCACCCTTTGGACTTTGTGTGGACATGTGGACCTCCTATGGACATGTAGCTCCTGTGAGAGCGATCTCGGACGCCCATGGGTCCCTTGTGGAAGCCCTATTGATGCCTGTGAACCCTTGGTGCTGGAAGGGACTTTGCATGGACATCGCATGGGCTACGGGTTCGATGCAGGTGTCGAGATTAGAGCTGCCAAAGGCCGTGGCGGGTCATGTAGCGTTACACTAATTACCGTTCAATGCCTGTCGCCGCACGAAGCTGTCGATTAAGCCCATTGAGCCCCCTGCCGGCCATGTCGCGTCCGATGATGAAGTGGGTGGCTCCGTAGTTCCTGACACATTGTGTCCGCAGATCAAGGCGGCAACTATAGCTGTGTCTCTTATCTCGCAGGGGCCGAAGCCAACCCCCTTCGCATGCGCCTTTGTTCGTAGTCGTTTCAGTGTGAGACAGACGGCCGTTCTTCTTCATATTATTCTTCTTCTGCTTCTTCTTCTTCTGCTTCTTCTTCTTCTTCTGCTTCTTCTTCTTCTTCTTCTGCTTCTTCTTCTTCTTCTGCTGCTTCTTCTTCTTCTCAGCGAGCCAGCGATGGTGGTGGTAGTGGGCATGTTTGGCTCCAGTGGGTGGCTGCGGTCCCCCCCGCCCCACCCCGTGCACAGCAGCGCGCCCGGTGTCCTTAAGTCTTGACTACCCCACCGTCCCTCTCTCGCACTCTCTGTCCCCTCTGCTCTCTCACTCTCTCTATCTCGCTCTTTCTCTCTCTCTCTCTCTCTCTCTCTCTCTCTCTCTGGCATAAAGGGTTGCTCATTGAGGCTAGGTCAACAACTGGGTCTCTTCTTGCGCAGCTGCCTCTCTGTTTGTTGTGGTTCAACAACGAAGCTTATTGGCACCGAGGCCAATGCTTGCGGATGATCATGTGCTGGATGGCCTCGCGAGGACCTGCCTCGGATGACGTGTCAACGAGCTCGCTCTCCTGTCTCTCTTCCTCCCGTGGGCGTCATTCTGGCCATCATCGGATGTGGCGGACGAGGGCTTCAAGAGCATGCACTGCGGCACAAATGGCACAACGAGCCGTCAAGAGCTTCACACTGGGATCATGGCCATCTTCATGCTGTAAGGCCTGGGGCAAGAAGGCACTTTCATGCTCTTTCAGGACACCGGTCACAGGTGCAGGCAAAGCGCAAGTAAGCCCATCTGAACATCGGGTACTCCTTCTCGGTCTCTGTCTTCAGCGCCTGCAATGACTCTCTGTCAGTACCGTCATGCTCTCCCGTCAAGGTCCCGCCCTGCAGATACGGACTCACATGACGTTGGCTACAGGGTGCCGGCTGTGTTATCAAGGTTACGGACGGAGTGCATCCAAACGTCATGAAGTTAAGCAACAAAACAGGTCACCGATAATTTGAGAGCCTTTGAGCTGACAAGATGCTTCCGACAAGATGTCGCTTGCCAGTGCCAACGTCGCAAATGGACAGCCTCGTAGGTCTGGATTCGCACCAAACCGTCGATGTCACCAGGCTGGGTTGGGCCACAGGTAGGGTGGACGAGCCTCGAGGTCACAGGGACGATCATTTTTGTGACATTGCGACCGTATGAGGTGCATCTGCGAGGCATGTTCCTATGCACTGGAGCAAGCCACGGTTTGGAGAATCCTAAGGACGGCCTTAGGCCCCACTTGGGTACTTTGCCTTTGTCAACCTTGCCTTTCGTGGGCCTACGATTCTGCACCTGACCCCTACGGCCAGTTGCCTACATTTTCATGCAGCCAAAACTTTCACCCAATCTTTCGAATTCCACGACGCCTTCTGTAGCTTCGTTACAGTATGTTACAGTAGGGAAACTGCGTCGCATCGCATCCAGGTCGCAAACCCCGGACAGGACAAGGCGGCCGGCGTCTACAGTATGTGTACAATTACGGCCTGGTGATATTTTGGAGCGGCAAACACCGACTCATGTGCGCGGCTTTGTTGAGGCCCGGACAGAACCGAATCCTTGACATCCTTCTGGGCCTGCAAGTCGACTACATCTCTACACTTTACAATTGGCATCTCTTCAGGGTGTCTCGAGAGCCAGGCACACACCAGCAGCTCGAAGTGGGCTCGGTGGATGGGATTGCGGTTTTGGAATGCAACCTGAGCTGAAGAAGGGTCTGTTGGATCATTGGAGCGTTTGGTGCCCTGGATACACGTCTTGGCTGCTTGCGACCTGCTTGTTTTCTGGCAGCGTGGCCCGAACCTGTGACAAATATGACGGATGTGTGAGATACACAAAAGGGAAATGCTTTGTAAGAAGAACCGCACAAACCAATTCGGCAGTTCAAATGATCCCTGTTCTCTTTATGCTGTTGCAAAATATGTCTTCACGAACATAACCAACCACCTCGGCCGGAGTCTGCGTGGTGTAGCCAAACTTGGGCAGCTCGAATCCGTGGATCCTCGCCAAACTCGGATATGCTCAGATCAACAGTAAGCCTCAATAAGCCCTTCCCTAGGCGAGGTGCTTGGCATCCATCATCTTGCTTTCTCTGCGCGCATTGCTTGCAGCATGATGCAGTCCTGCCACCAATGTAGTACTTTCCTTAGCTGCGGGCCACAGCAGGGCACTCAGCGAAGTATGCTAAGTGAAGCTACTCTATGCTATTCTATGCTAATTTTTCTTCTACTATGCTATTCTATGCTAATTTTTCTTCTACTGATTCTCGTACAGTATGCTCTTATGAACAAGCTCATCGAGCCCTCAGCGAGCCAGAAGCTGATTTCAGAGTCTGGCCGATCTCCGTCACCAAAGAGGCCACGGTGGGGTGCTCCAGGCCTGAAATTTGGCGCAGCACTCACACTACTCCGACACGAGGTTCTGAAAATCAAGCGTGAGCGACTCCTGACTGCAGCGAGCCGGCGCCAGCAACAATAGCTACTCGTCAGTTGAGGTGACGCTCATTGAAGCTGCTGAATGCCCTGCTGCTGGTGCCGTAGCATTCTTTGGCTTCCACCACCTGCATGAATCAGTGCATGGGAAACCCATAAAACTGCTTTGGCTGCAAGCCTTGTTCGGCTTCCAGATGGAAGACGCCTCGCAGCTGACCGCGGGTGTGCAACAAAGTGGAAAGAGCAAAACGAGGGTCACTCAAACGAGTCATCCTTGGAACAGTACCCTCTGCCTCAAGCACACCAACGTTCTGTCCCTTCCACTTCAAGAGCCTTGCAAGCTGGACACAAACTCCATACATCATGAGCCAACCTACACAGGAGTTGAAAGAGTTGACACTTAGAGTGTGGCAACTTGTCACCCTTGTTGATGCCATCGACCTGTGAAAAGACCAAGCAATTCTGCACGGTGAGTTGACGCAACCACGCACCCGCACTCGCACCCATAGGGACACTCACTCACTCACTCACTCCACTCACTTCACTCACTCTACTCTGACAAGTCCCGCCGATTAGGATGCCACGGGCACTCAGACGACCCCCAGACGCGCAGCACTACATAGGGACACAGGCCTCCCCTCCCACCCCCTCCCTCCCCCTCCCTCTCCCTCCCTCCCTCCCCTATCACAGTTTGGCCTTTGACAGGCTGTTTGTTTTCCTTGGACTTGCAACTTGAGGTTTACATAGCCTTTGGCTCTCTGAAGCGCCTCCGGCAGGTCGAAGGTCACGGGCAGACCGAAGAGCTGCTTCTCGGGCAAGCGCATGTCCTCATCAAAAGTCTTTCTTGTAAAGCAGCTTGGTTGCTTCATTTGATAGGTCTCGTGAAGGAAGGTGTCCAGCCTTCACGACTGAGTTGTAGGCGGTCTCCTCCTGCAAGTGGAGTGGATCTTCAACGTTGGCACGACTATGTCCCCCACCAGTAGTAGACTTGATTTGCAAAGCCCCGTTGATTAACGACACCCAACTTAGGCCACGATCTCGGTCATAAAAGTGCTTGCTTCTATAATAAACGACACCCCGCTTGGCAAAAGCCCATCTGGAACTTGCCCGACAGCTCACTTTGATGCTGACTATATACCCTCTACCCCCAAGTGAACCCGTACCCCTGCGTTCGCTTAGGCTTTAAGGGACCAGGGTTTCACAGCTTGTGGTTTGCTGACGCGCTGGTTCACTACAGGAAGACTGAAATGGCGGCAAAGCATGGAATAGCTTGGAAAACAGTAGACAGTGGGGTCTCGGATCGCGTAGGAGACGAGGATCATCCCAGTTCCCGCCCACTTCCCATTCCCCGCCATAAAGCCCGTGAGGGGGCTGAAGGCGCCGCTGAGCAGGCAGAAAACGTCGCAGGCCTGAATTCTGTCCCAGTGAGTCACACATGCTGCAAATCTGGAGCTTTCGACTGATTGACCGGTCCTCCCGTATCCCTGGATATCGGCCTGGCGCTCATTGATCTCGATGGTTTTCACTGCGCTGGCTGTGAGGCTCTTGATATCGGCCGGGTCCTACAAGGTGGTGTGAGAACATGACTTTTCCATGAGCGGCAGCGACTTCAACTTCACTCTGGCCCTCCTGCCTTGACCATGAGGTCCACCAAAGATCCACCATGTGGGGCGCCGGCAAACGTGGTGCGAGTATGGATACCTGCAGGGTTGAGTCTTGTGTCATCAGCACGTATGCGATGTTCAGCTTTTGCGATGTTCAGCTCATGGGCTTCATAGACATTGTCATGAATTGTCGGTCTGAGGCTCCTGCCGCACTCCGTCTTCGCCTGGCGCACGAATCGGCCGGCGCGCTCGGACTCATGGGGCTCAACCTGGCAAAACAAGGTGCGGAGGTACGGGAGTAGGGAGAAGCAGACTTGCAAGGACGAGCAACAAAACAACTACAGATACGAGTAGATCGAATTAGGAGAGCATTGCCTCCAGGTCGGAAGCGCTCAGTATGGGAACTACGGGCATTCAGAGAGCGAGGCCGCAACTAGCCTGCTTCTTGCATGTCAGGGGATCATTCAAGACATCAACACTCTCCAGAATAAACGTGGCCAAGAGTGCCGGCACGGTCGTGTGCATGTCGCCTCGACTGCTGCATGCTCAGCGAACTAGTGGTGACAAAAGACCTTCAAACATCTTCAGGCCCCAGGTAGCCGTGCCCAGACAGCAATATGCCGAGAATTTCGTCTCTGCCCCAAGGTCGTAACATTCATTTCAGACTTGGCATGCTCCGTTGTTATCAGAGTAGAGAGGTCTCCGATTTCAAAACACGGAAAAATATGGGAACTACTACGGAACTACCATCATGCGAGAGGCCAACAGACCTCGCTCCTGAATCAGCACACGCTTGCTGAGCAACAGCTTGTAGCATGGTCGGAGCTGGGGCCAGCACCAAACGACTTGAACACGTAAGTGATCGCCTCAGCGCACGTCTGAGAACATTCGAAGACTCCAACCTTTTCCTGTGCTCGTGTTCAGTAGGATGGTCGTGAAGTAGGAGTTGCAGGTTTGCAGCAAACGAACAGGTTTCACAGAGTCTCTTCTCAGTACCGTATCGACTTGCTCTAGATCACAGACGGGCATGCAAAACACAAAACATGCTAGGCCGCATGCTTCAGCCCTCCAAATGGATGCAGTCTGGGACCCTTGCTGCGGGAGGGCTGCCCTTGATCTCTGCCTGTACAGTGCCACGACCAAGGACGCTGCACATCTGAGAGAAATCAGATTTCCTGAGAGAACTCAGAGGCGCAGTGAGCCAGTGAGCTGCCTCCGTGCAGCGCCAGAAGGGCTTTCCCAAGTCCACCTGGCTTATGGCAGCTCGGGGCCTACAAGCTCTCGAGTCTGGCCGTTAGCAAAAGACAATAGTGACTATAAAGGACTTCTAGGAAGTCTCGCCCTTTTGCACGTGGGCCACACCTTGGTCCACGGAAGGTCCGGCAAATGGCGGCTGGTCGCCTGAGCCAATCTTGGCGAAAGCGCCCGAGCGGGTGAACTTCTGCTGCCAGGAAGGCCGTTTTTGTCGGTTCTATTCTTGCAACTTACAGGCATATGAATGAAGGTATCATCACGCGAATCTGTAAGCACTCGCCTCGATCGGTGCGTCGCAGCGGAAGGCCCAGTTGTGGCCAGCTGGAACAGGGATGGTGATGGATTCATGGACGAAATGGACGGCGTGTCAGGTTCCAACCAATGATTCTCGCATGCATTCTGATGAAAACTCCCTCGGCTCGACATCTGAGGGACCACAGATGATCAAGGCTTGGACCATTCACCGGCACACCCTCCTTATCCACGTAGTCGATGATATCCTTCAGTGCGGTCGCTTCTACGTCAACTAGCAACTCACGGGCCTTACCAGCAAGACACAGCAGCAAAACAAACAACACAGCGACCGGAAAGGCCGGTCGAAGTCACGACCCACGCTCTCCTGCCAGCTGAAGTTCGCCATGGGGTTCAAAGTGCGCTTCTGATCCTCCCAAACCTCGGCGGTCGAAATCTGAGTGGAAGTCCCACAGTGAACCCCGCAGCACCGCAGGGGAAGCAACAAATATGAGAAACGGCGTGTGCACCGTGCTGTAGGCATCTGGCATCCAGCTTGATGCGCTGCGCGGCCTGGTCCATCCGACGGCCGGTGATCAGGATGTCCTGCATCCACGTGTGCACTCGGTGCCAGACAGCCGAAGCATATTATCTCAAGCAGACTTAAGAGTTTTTCTCGCAAAAAACCTCCAGATTTTTGTTCAAGATGAAAAACTTTCCAACTCAGCGAAATTCCCTCTGGCTAGTAAAGTCTGGCCGTGCATCTTGCACCCTCCTTCTCGCACTCCTCCAAAGCTCGCTGGAAAGGCTCAACCTGCATTGGCCATGAGACTCGCTTGGGCCCCGGCAAATCCCCGCAGTTGCAAATCTGTGTCAATCATGTGTTTTGACCCGCTTGACCTTGCTCACAAAGTCGAAGTCTGCAGAGTCCAGCTCCTGAAAACCCCGCTAACAGGATCCAGCTCTCATGCTCAGATACTAGTAGGAATGTGAAAAATACCATGTGGGATAGTGATACTGATGCTCATGATTGGTATGACAGCCCGACAATTGGCAGGCAGCTTGGAGAAAGGAGGAAATCTGGTCGTGCAGTGCTGCAGCGAGTACCAAACCTCGCAGTCACCGTACTTGGCGATGAACTCGTCCTTCCTGGGCCGACACATATTGGCACATCCCCCCAGCAGATATTGAGAGATTGACAGGCAGACCCTTCCAAGGTCCGTGAACGAAGTTGTCGCCATTATGGGAGGAAGGGGGAGGCAAGACCAGTCATTCCCGGGGCAGCAGGGCTTCTGCATAATTTTGGCCCATCGTAAGGCACCAGAGTCGAGGCGTTCCGTTCAGGAAGGTCAACACCATGTACGCCAGCATGCAGCCTGTAAACCCATCTCAAAAGCTCAATTTGCAGTAAACAAGTACACTGTCAACGACGCAAGCATCCATCTATCTCTCACAACATGATGTTTGTTGATTTAAGCAGCTGGGGACGAAGAGCTGACAAATCAACAGATGTTGCATGGACGGACATAGATGGGAACACGATTGAAAAGACATGAGCACCCAGCAATTTGAACGAGAAACCTTCCACGGTCCAAGTGCCCAAAGAATGGTGCTCTCGAGTTCAGTCCAAGGCACGTCGTGATTCCCTTTGGTAACTTCCAAAGGGCCTTCATGCACGTAAGCATCATGGCGAATGAACGGAACAAGTCAACAGACTTACGTAGATTTTAGCTGCAGAATGGATGACCAATTGCACCCAACCGAAACTAGCAGTCCCTGCGGCAGGGTCCCGTATTGTGCACATGCGTTTCACGCCCGCACTGGCCCCTAGATAACGTGCTGCCTGATGCGAGCAAGACTCTAGCCTATATGTCCCTATATTGATGCAGCCCTAGCGGGCTGTACTAGATACAGACGCTGCACCACACGTCGCCGCCTGCTTGGCGTACTTTTCCTGGCAGTGGGCAGTGGGCCGCAGGGCAAGGCTACGTGTCTTCCAGGAACAGTGCCCTGAATCCCAGACCTCGACTAACTTGGCACACTCCAGGGCGGTCGGGAAGAGGTGCAGAGTGTCAATGGCCACAAGGTTCATGCCTCGACTTCGGAGAAGACTTAGACTTACGTGGGCTCACGTTGTGATATGAAAGACATTCAGATCACTTGTGAAGGCAGTGAGGGCAACAGTGATGGCAACAGGGCTGCTGGCCTGAGAAGCTATCTTTTTTTGCTGGCAAAGACAGTCTCGCACAATAAGGTGCCTGTAGTTTGAGAATGCCGCACCGGTAGCTGGGAACCTTGCCTTTCAAAACCTCTGGGAAGTGCTTCCGCATGAGGGCCTCAGACATCTCAGTATTATTAAGGCATCCACGAGAAGTACTGAGACAGAGAAGGGGCAACGGAGCATGATAGCGCCGCAGTGTACTGTATGCGTGGCGACAAGTACTGGAGTATACTGGAGTCTGCAGCGGCCGAGACGTTGCAAAGTAAGCTGCAGACAACGAACACATTGTCAGTGGCGAGCCATGCTGTCGCGAATACCACCTGAAGTAGGATCAGAGACAATCTCGCATCGAAACAAAAGGCAGTTCCAGGCGTAAAGATCTTCAACGACAGCCGTGCAACTATTGTGCTGAGGAGTATGAATGGTGCAAGACTAGGGCCCGGGCCTTCTTTCCGTCCTTAGGGAGGTGCAGCTCCACGTGCTTGCAGAAGTCGTCCACCTCTGCTTCTGTGTTTCTGCGCTTGCAACCGCGAAGCCGGCTTCGAGCAAGCGTACCGGATCACGATGTCAATGTCGGTTATATTAAGAGTGGTGAATCATGAGTTGACACTTTTGTCCCTGTCTCTCATACGTTTCATCATATTCCAATTCCGAAGCCTGCAGGCCTAGTGTCTATTGAGTTTAGGGATTGTTTGATGCTCCTCTAGGGACTCCCTTCCCACCTTGCTCTGCAGCGAGGAGAAATGCCGAGGCAAGCTCGCCCGGAGAGTCAAGCCCTTGGGATCTTGCGGCACATGCAACACTCAGTGCCAGAGAAGTGATGTCACTTTTGGCAGATCCTCGACATCTTGCCATCCTTGTTACCAGTACCACCGCACAAGCAGAAGGGTGACGAGCCGGAAGGACAGCAAAAGCACGTCATACAATGTGACGATATATGACGCACTTCATGTGACACTTGGTGCTCAAAAGCTCGAATCACTCCATCATACTCCATCTCTCCACAGTTCCCTTTTGAAGCCCAAGAAGGAAAGCAATAGCTGAGTATGGCCGAGTGCTGAGTGCCGGCACCAGCTTCGGGGTCATGGCGGAGGAGCCCATGCGACCTCGGCCCAAACGGGGGCTGCCAGTCACTGCAAGCACGCGTCAGCACACTCTAGCAAGTTCTGATCGTGGCTTCTAACAAAAGGCCCATGGCCACTGGGAAGATGGGGAAGCTCTTGGGCCTTCATGGGTCTTAGATCTGGCATCATCTGGCATCCACCAAGGCGTGGACGCATGATAACGGCCATTGCAGTGAGATGGCGTCTGGGCTTGATCACGTTGAGCCTCCTTCTTATTGCGACTGGAGCACGCCGATTGGCTGGTCATCATTGCACAAGCATGCTGATCATGCACACCACTCAACGCACAACGCAAAACGTCATTGAAAGCTTCCTCTCGGCACAAACCTGTCTAGTCACTGAGGCGCCTGGATCGACCTTTTTTGTCAACTCACGCATCGCATGTTGCACCAGAATGCGTTGACGGTATGCAGACATGGAGCCAGGTATGGAAAATGTGCAGTTCTACACAACAAGTGCCAGGTGCCCGAAGATGACGGGGAATGAACTGCAGTGGCGGCTTCTGCACTTGCTCATGGATCATAGAATCACATGTGCACGACTCAGTTTGCAAGGGCAGCACGAAACTGAAGCTGGCTTTTCAAGCCAACGAAAATTGCATTCACTTGTAAAGTCGCCGTGCTGTCCTGAAATTGAGCTTTACTTCAGCCGTTAGCCAGCCATGTCTAGCAGCATGATCAGTAGTAAGACGGTTCTTGTTCAGCGGAACTCGTCCGTATTGATGCAAGACGTCAAAGTCAGGCTGCACGAACGGAGCACACCGCAAGCTAAGATTAGGCCAAACGCCACTTCCGGCTCACTTCATCTTCGAAAGCTTCCTGCACGCGATGCTGCTTAGGCTTCAGCACTTTTGGCAGCGATGCCGCTCTTGCTCAGTGTGGCTGCGTTGCTCAACACTCAACCGGACATGGGAAGCCGTGATTCCCGACTTCAACCGGGAGGCCAACCTTAAGTGCCTAACAGGATCTCCTGGTGGAGACTACGTGTGCGAGTAATCCAAAGGCTCCAGCTGTCCTCCCACCACATCGCGTCACCGGCACCTTCTTTAATGAACTGAAGCACCGTCTTCTGGATAGTTCCTGCAGCCTTTCCAGCGTTCTCCAGTCAACAAGACTTCAGCTTCGAAACTGCGCTGACAGATTGGTGCGTGAAGCCCAAAATCATGAGCTTGGAACGGCAAACCCACACCGTTTCATGCCGCTTTTCCTGATTCTGAGGCACTGGTTGAATGCAAGGCATCTAAGGTTGCGAGTTTTGAGGGCTTGTATGGGGCCTTCTCAAGCTGTCACAATGGGGGGCACAGCTGTACTTCCTAAGCCACGCAATCATGCAAAAACGGCTCAATGGGCAAAAAGCGAAGGTTGCTTGCCTCGTCCGATTCGTTCCTCAAAACCCTTCTCCCCCGCCAACGCGAACCCTCTGTGGCCTAAAGTGGGCCTCCTTTAGGGGCAGAAGTCAAATCACTGAATTCGTTGGACTGTGTAGTGTATTACTTTCTTTACCTCCTGGCGTCCAAGGATTGCCAGAATCTGAAATTTGAAGTGCCATTCCTGCTCAGATTTGTGAAAAGCATTGTGGAGGAGAAGATAGCAGAAGGTTCCATGTTGCAAGGCCGAAGTCGCAATATGTCAGGAAATACAGTAAAGAATGGCAGCACCGAAGACATGTTCTAGGGATGCGGATTGTGCACCTTTATGTCGACCGTCTTGTAGACATCATCCTTGCTCTCGTCCTGCCGACACAGGCTGGTCGTGAAGCAGGAATGCTTAACCGGAAATAAAGCTTGCCTCCTCCAGCCCAACGTCCCGCCACAAGTTGTTTGCTCGTTGCAGCTTGCGCCTTGGCATACATCCAACTGTGGCAAGGTGGCGTTCGGCTGTTGCAGATTGCAGCGCGCACTGCTCCACCCATGAAGACAACTCATGCTCCACGATGGCAAAGAGCTACAGTCCAGCTCAGCGCGGCACCTCACGCACTGGATTGATGGACCTTCATCAGTGAGGAGCAGCTAAACATCAACGCAAAATGAATGTCGGATTGCTGGCTTACATTTTGTGAGTGAGACGGTTACTGTAGTGAGACAGTTGAGGCCAGCATGTGTAAATCTGCATCCGTGCGCATCTGTATGCGCATCTGTGCGTGAATCTGTGTGCGCATCTGTGTGTTCTGCGTGTGGATGTGTATCTTCGCGGGCATAGGCGACTGTCCTGAAGCAGTGTTCCGAAAGTCGGGACCTTTTCATGCAACGTGCAGCAGTCAGCACGCAAGCGACTTTACAGTTAGTACAGTTCTGTAGCTTTGCAACATGCGGGGTTGCCACATGCAACGTTGCCGGGACATGCGGCAGTTGGCACCTGCCAGGCAAGTATATAGTGGGATCCGTGACCTTAACTCTGTTTGAATGTGTGCACGCGCAGATTTGTGCGCCAGGTGCAGCGCTCGCTCATTCTTAGCTGCCCTCGAACTTGGCTTGTACCACTGTACAGCCGCAATGCACGAAGAAACTGGCGAAACCAAGGCGGTTTAGATACCCTCTCGCTTTTGGGTGTTCATGCAAACCAACCTGCCTAATCTGCTTACAAGGCACCGCTTGTCTGATTGTCTACGAAAGCAGCTTCTCTCCAGCACTGAGGATGCAACGAAGATCAGTTGCATGAATTGGCTGGTAGTTCCCGTCCGGATCCTGCTGCCCAAGCCCAGCACTGTCCATGAACATCTTTTCCGCGCTGCTATTCTGCTATTCCAGCCGCAAAACCTAAGTCCTGCATGAAGATCTGCCATGGGCTGGGGTAGGCATGGTACCTGATTAGAATGCACAATGAACCGGGCCAAGCAGGCCAAGCAGGCCAAGCAGGCCAAGCAGGCCAAGGCTAGTCTGCTAAAGCAAAGGCACAGGCGGATCATGACACAACGCCATTCTCAAGATGCACGCAACAAGTACAGTACTGGGCAGGAAGTCGGAGCACATAGCACCAACGTAGTTGATGTTAAAGGGATCGCGCAGAACAGTCTGTGTGTACCTTGGGCACTAACCCATCAGCAAAGATCGGCATCAGCAAGCAAGTAGCCCTGGCTGTAGATGTGGAGGCTTGTACAGCTTGAATCTTGAAACGCCCTACCCGGTCCTACCCCACGCACAGATGCAAGGACGCAGCTTTCCAAATCGAATGAAGTATGCGTTGCGGAAAGTGGAGAAGAAATCGAGGTGGACCTCCGTCAGACTCCAACAAATTAAGGTGACATTCAATTCTTTGTGAGAGAACGAAAGGACTCGATTGCTTTTGCGACCTTGGGGGTGGCTTGTCCAGGCTGGAAAGGAAGGAGCTTCTTGTAATACTCAATGTCAGCCCTGGCCATCAGCATTGCGGCATCATGCATGTGGCATGTGGGCGTGGCTGCGGCGTGGCCAGTCCGAGTCTGGTATGATTGGCATAACTTCTTATTTATGCTGTTCTTGTGCCTGAGCTTGTTGAGGTTGAGGTTGAAAATGACGTGTCGAAGGACACGGCCTTGCCTGCAAGCACGCTGCTTGACATGTAGAAAGCAGAGATAAAGCGAAAGAAAGCCTTTGTTGAATGTGTTCGACACATCTTGCGTACCCAATTGAATATCAGCACTATCAAACCGGGCAGTGCTGTGCAGTGCTGCAACTTCTGATTGTAAACAAGCAAGGAGGTGTGTGGGTCATGAAACTGATTCAACTCAGTCCAATTTCCTGCGTAATTATTTTACATCACTTGAAGCTTCACGGCATGGTCTTTGCCTGGTTGCGACCGCATCAGCCTTCTCGATATAGTTCCTTTAGATCGGCCGCATATGCAAGGTAACAGCCACATGCAGCAAGATGGATTTCCTCTCGCGAGAAGACTATCACATGTAATTAGCTTGCTCTCGGGATCTAGCAGAGGCATGCCGCCTGGTGTCGCGGCCCTAAAAGTCGCAACTGTTCTGCCTTCTCTCCCTGAGCATGCACCGGGTAATGCACTGCAACATGCCCTTGACGAGCCTGATTTTTGGCAGTTCGGCTGCTTCCTGGCACATGATGTAGACGAAGACATCCTGCTCACTTCAACAACCATGTGCATGCACGAGCACCCGGGAGTACGCATTCCTAGATATTCCTAGCTTTCGGAGTTGGAGGATGAACAGAAGAACTGTCGCCGACCAGCTTCGAATTCTAGCTTGCCAGCAGGACTGATTCCGTGATATGCTGCGATTATTCTTTGAGCAGCTTTCCGTCGGCACATCGCACCTCGAAGGGTCCAGGCCATGCGTCTTCGTTCACCTGCGCATATCCGGGCATCGCGCAGAAGTTTACCCTATGAAGGGGCCAAAAAAACGGAACCAAATGGACCATCGAACTGGAATCCAACCTCATTGTAGTACCCTCGACGGAGCAGCTCCGGGCGCTCCATTTTGCGCCTGAGCTGTCTGCCAATGCTTGCAATGTCTGGGAGGTGAGAGAAGCTTGCAATAGCGCGCAACAGTCCGTTTGTCACCTCATGGCCTGATGCCTTTTCAATGTTGTAAGAAGACAGCACGGCTTTTTCCGCCAGGAAGCCCGCCACTCGTCAATCGCGGAACAAGAGTTGGGCACGGGAGCTCAAGTCACACAAGAGGTAAGAGTTTTGAAACAATCGTAGCGTTTGCTATCTCCACCACAACCCGAGCTTATACTGCCCAAAGTCCAAAAGTCACCCGACACCAGAAACATCCAGAAACCTGCCGAGGCTGTCGGCGCCTGACTAGGACCTGCGACTGCTCAGCAGCAAATTGCTGCGAACAACGGCTCACTGACTGCAATCTCAATCCACCTGCGAGCAAGAACGGCACGAACAACAAGGCTCGGTGCACAAGGGCAGGCACTCTCAGGCACTCTTCTTGCTGGAGCTTCAACTGGAAGACGTACGGGTAGAGTGGTAGAGACATGGGGCGGCACATTGGATGTTCACGGTGCCATGTGAACACAGGCCCATGGGCGTAACTCTTCCAAACTAGCAGTCTCTCCTCAATAACAAACCCACGGTGTCATGCAAATCGCAACCTTCAGGCACTCCAGCGTGAACTCCTGAGATGTTCTGCATGGCTGCAAGTCCCTCCACAAACGGCCCCTCCCCCAATCCCCAGTCTTTGGTTCCGTTTGCTTCGATACCATACAACGTGACAACTGTACAGAACAAAGCCGTGTATGCTGCACGAACAGATGCAGAACTGTGTAAGATCAGAAGCGAGATGCACTTCAGGAATACAGCGGGAGGGGTTGAGGCAGATTCTCCGTTTCCATGTCCTCTCCCCCATCCTTTGGCTGAGCGACAAGAGTGCCACCTGGAGGGATGCCCCAGGCGGGGAAGCCAGACTCTCCGTAGCCCTGGAGAACAGCTTGAAGCAGAGCAGTCACAGAATGTCACGGATGATCACGCTTCCCCAATCTCTATGTACTTGTGCCTCATTTGCCGGAATGAGCAGCATCCTTTCCTGCGATCACATCTGAACATGTATGAGGAACAAGTGCACGAGAGAGAGAGAGAGCGAGGTGTGTGTGTGTGTGTGCGAGCGTCTGACACAGCGGAATGACCAACCTAAACTCTCAGCACACTGCAGCGATGGACAGATGAAGCGGATGGCACCTCGCCGACCTTCATTCCGAGGCAGCCCTGGTCCCAGCCAGTGATCACCTGAGACCACCGGCCAAGGCACAGCCATCAAGTTGTCTCAAGTTGTATCAAGCATCACGACATTTTCCATATGCAGGCAGGCTCATGGTGGTGCCAATCTGCAGCATGGGCTAAGTCTGCCCAGGAGGCACAGGCTGAGCAGCAGACCTTGCCCACACCAGCCTGACACCATCTCGGAGGGTTTACGAAGCAAAAGTACGCAACATAATCCTGCAGTTTCAGAAGCACAGTAGGTACCAACATGACAAGCAGCTAGCATTACGTCGCTGCTTTCTAATACACCGCCTGCGCAGTCGACTGCAACGATGCTGAGGTCTTGTTTGGACAAAGAGTTATGGCCGTCTAGGGGTACTCTGGGCCTGGTATGAAAACGGCTGCTGACCAGGATCTTTCGTGCTCCAAAACTTCTTTCCCGTCCTTAGTCATCGCAAGCACAGTTGGGCACCTTTTGCAGGGAAGCAAGGAAAAGCTGCTGCTGACATGTGTAGATAAATACGTGTGTATACACGTAGTGTATATTATACATTTGTATCCATCTTGCATAAACCCCATCAGGTATAGCGGATCTTCAGCTCCAACAAAATGAACGAGGCATGCATGGCTGGTCATCGAATGAAAACATAGTTTGGTTCCCAGCCGCTCTTTCACTACGCCGGTGGCATGCACCGTCGCATTGCTTTTCGCCTCGATAACCTGATATATACAACAAAGCACAGCTCTTCAAAACGTCCGCGATCGGGCTGTCATGGCTTTTGAGAGCGTTGCTTTGCCGGTGCCCTCCTTGATGATCTGGTATTGCGTCTTGTATCCAGGAATTGCCTGTGGCACGAAAGGTCGGGTCAGGGTAATGACCCTGAACACAAACAGCACGGGTCCGAAGACAGGCACAAATTAGACTTCGCAAATAGCAGACTGTCGATGCTGTTGCCCCGACGCAAGCCTGCATGGCCACGGCTGAGGTATGACCCGACAGGTGAGAAGCACGTGGGATGGACCAAAATGCTGCAGACAAGGTCGTGGGATGCGGTGGGCGCAACTGCAGCAAACATAAGTAACATAAGCAACTACACCTGCATGCCACGTCACTGTCCCGTGCGGAGCCCGAAAAAGGCTGGCACCATTTGTCGTAGTGGATATCGCGTGCTCGGAGCATATCCTGGGCTTTGCTATTCAACTCATCCCCGTACGGGCCGCATTGGGTGTAATAAGCACCCTGCTGGCTTGTTCGGAAAGAGGATGCGGACCTTAAAACGTCTGGACAAACAGAGAGGAAGCTCGACACAGGTAGTTTCCAGCTACTGTAACTGCATACAGTGTACACGTTAACACTGGCATACTGCGACAGACATCGACTATAATCCATGCCTGCCGATTTTCATGCAAGACCCTAGTCTTGTCAGGTGCAACACGTCGCAAGATTTAGTCATCCACGTGCCTCACCACGTTGCACGCAGGGCATCAACAGGCATAGTTGTTTTCTCAGCAGGAAAATCTGTCACACTTCGGGCGCTTGAGTCTTCGCGCGGATTGCCTGACACAGATGATCACGTGAATTCGAGTCTAGCCTGTACAACTCCCAATTGCGCAAGCTGGAGCTACCCACCTGCACGATGCCATCAATGCCATCAACGTTGGCTGCAGTTGCCAAGTCCTCTTGCAATGAACCACCAAGTCATACGTGTACGTTACTCAGCACACGATGCATTGCCATGCCCATCAATTGCCACAGCGGCACGGCGCCAGCCGTGTCAAGCGCTCAAAAGGAAGTCGCAAAGGCATCAAACAGTCAGCAACGCGCCATTTTGATCACTGAGCTAGCTGGGCACTTGAAAGGTTTCTGCATCTGGTACTTGCGGCACTTTCCGAATCTTTGCTTCATCGTATCCTGCAGATGATCTGGACTACAGTTAAGACGAAGCAACACCACAAGCTGCACATGCGCCCTCATCCCCCTAGCATACCCCCAGCAAGCACATGAACTTACTTGCAGCTGGTACAGGCACAACAGCCACAGAACCTCACGGACAAGATGAAGTGGTTGGCAAATATTGCAGTGCCCAGGATCCCAGATCTTTGGACTTCTGAATCAGCTTTTGGTAGTCTGCATCGGAGACTGTTGGCTTACGGCTCAATATCCTTGGGAGGGCATTGTGCAAAGCTTTTGCACAGACGAATGAAGCCAACTGTGCTCAGTTGAGTTTGAAATTGAAAGAAAAAGGCAGACAGGGATAGAAAGAATGAGAGCAAGAACGCAAAAAGTAAATCAAAGAAGAAAGCAAGAAAGAAGGAGAGAGACACAAGAAGCAGAAAGAGAGAGCACTACTGTGAAAGTGCCTGACCAAGATTCCAAAGGTAGGCGCGGTTGGGATACCCGACGATGGCCTGTTCATCCAGAAGAGTCTTGGTCAAAGGGCTCTAAAGGTGTCCGCGAAGTGGAAAGTGCATCAGCTTCGCTTCATTCCGCTCTCCTGGCTGTAATCCTCCGCGCAGTCCACGATGATGTAGGGAAGCTTGAGGCCCAGGTGGCTGAAGAAGTAGCCGAACAAAGGGAGCTTGGGGGACACCCGCCACTCCGCACTAGTCTCCTCTTTGAAGTGAAAATTTGCAAAAAAGGCATGATCCTACTTGACAATTCGCCCCTTTGAAGTTCACCCCTTTGCGGCCCGGAATGTGTGCACTCGTGATTGTTAGCTACTGAAGGTGGGGAAACACGAAAAGATGAAATCACAGATCTTCTCCTCAACATTTTGTGCAGGGCAGACTCGGGCTGTGACTTCAGCTCCTCTCCTTGTCGGAGATGCGGCCCCTGTATCTGTACTGCTGAGTCATGCACCGCCTGTCTCTATACCGCTGAGTCTGCATGCATCCCACTGCTCTGTTAGCCTCAAGGAGGTTGAAGGATCGAAGCCCGACTCTTTGTTCGACGTATGCGGCCATGCCCTTGAGTTCCTGATTTACACCTGCATCCTGCTTCATTCATGTAGGCACATGCAAAGTTGCCATACTTCGCAGCGACCGACTGGATCACTGGGATTTCAGTATCTTGTTCAGTCTCTCCCTGTTGTCGAGCTTGTGCGCTTACGTTCATTCTCCCGTGCGCAAACCTGCCGAAACTTGCTCAGATACCAGGCTCTGTTGGAACGGGTCAGTCTTCGTACGAAGCTGAAAAATGTTCGCTCTTTCGTTCGCCGGCCTTCCCCAAACCCCAGTATATCCCAGTCACCAGGCCCAACGGGCCGAATTTCAAACCTCTACCTTTAAGCGGGGACCTTGTTCCAAAGCCAGCCGCGCTGGTAACTGTCGTTGATGCGACCGTCCAGCGCATTTTCATTGAACCTGAAGGGTGAGAAATGGTGAGAGGTTCAGCGATCGCAGAGCTACGGCACACATCTGCAAACAACGCCTCAGGCCAAGCCCACAACTGATGCAGCACAATCTCTTGTAAGGTGGCCTGTAGTGGACGCCAATGCGCTGACTCGACTCGTCCCAAGAATACGTCTCGACGGCATTGTGAGCCAGGTGCTCCTTGCTTGGAAGCTAGGAGAGCTAGATTGTGTCGCGATATGCCTTGCGCGGATTTGTCAAGTTGAGCCCCTACATCTTCGTGTCCAGAACCATGCTTCTGCCATTTCTTGTCACGCTTGAAGCGCAGCTGGCCGTCGCTGCCGAGCTGCCTTCACAAGCCTCACCGGAATATGGGCCTCGCAGCTGACTTGAGAACTCTAGGCTATAAACATTTCGCCACTACAAAGTACCAGCTGTAAAACGCACATAAAGATGATGACTGACGATGTGTGATGTTGTGTGAATTGAAGCGCTGCGGCGCCACGCTCCCGCCGAGAAGCGAGCACGTACCAAGACCCCATGAAGCGATTGAGCTCCAGCTTCCGATCCTGAGGAATGTGACATTCTCATAGGATAAAAATTGCATTGGCTGTCTGAAAGATACTTGAAGTCGAGCATCCATGGCCTTCAACGCGACGAGGGGCCTGCCAAGTATTGTCAAAGTCGGTTGAGTAGGTAGTTCAGGATCTTTGATGGGAGAGCCGGTCAGGAATTCACTCATGAGTACTAAAACCTTTCTATTGTTTGCTTTTAATTGTCACGGCTGGCAGGAACCTCGTTCATGTGCAGCTCGAATTTGGTACTGAAATCGCGGGTTGCTGGAAAGCTGCCAGATAAACATACAAGCTGCCTCGTACTGGGAAGCTCAAGTATCTAGCAGAATCTAGCACGCTTGCTCAGATGCACTGCAAATGCATCAGTCCCTCAGAAGCCTAGCAATGCCAACGACATAACGCTGAACATCATATCCATCCATCAACGAAGAGACTAAGAACCAGCATCCCGACCTGCCAAGGCCCATGTAGATCCCCAGCCTGTGCTGGCTCTCACACTGCCACTGACAGTCTGACACTCTCCCAGCAGAGCAAGACTAGCACCGCTGCACACAGAGCAAGGGATGGTCCACCTTTGACCACAACACACAGTGGATGCCGATTCTTCGTCAAATTGCTCCTGTAACAGCTTCCATACTTAGGGCAGGCAGCTTGACACCTTAGGTTCGTCTTGAATCACAAACACGACCATTTATGAATGCTGCGAAGCCACCCTGCCGCGATCACAGCAGCACCAGCAGCACGACGACGAGCCATGATCCGTCTTCTAGTCACTAGCACCAGCTGTTCACCAAAGCAGGTTTTGTAATGACGGCCTTCGGTACCTTCGGCTGTGCTCCGTGTTCTAGACTGAAACCTTGAGCTTGTTCTGCAGATGTAGCAGCTTGACACAAGCAGGATAGGAACAGGCCTTTGTTTAAAGTTAATGCCCTCACCGAATCCCGGAAGGTGTATGAAGGAGGCTTAGCGGCATGCTCGGCGGTCGTCCCCCCGCTGTCCTCCATGCTCAGGTTCACAGACAAGCAGCTGGCGAGGCGTTCCCGTAGCCGAGCCTTGTGATACGAAAAGGCACGAAAAGATACTTGAATCCATGCTTGACAGGGTGCTGCTCTAACAGCAAAGGTGGGTGGTCGCGAACTGACAATTTGGCCTTGCCAAACTTTTTGGGACTGGGATCACACTGAGTCGCAAGGTCCAGCGAGTCCAGGCCCATCTCCACAAGCGAGGCCGACTGCACAAGTTTTTTTCAACATGTCCCGGCTTACCCAACTTTTTCAACACTGCTTGATGCTCTGACCGTGTTGGCAAGGTGCCTGCGATTCTGCTCCGACGAAGTCCAGCAAGCAGGACTCCACAACAGCTCGCACATCTTGCCGCTCAGTCGCGCGAGTCGGGCCACCTGAAGCAGTGGGACAGCAAGGTCCATGATGTCTCTGCGCAATGCCGGCCTCGCGTGCAAGATGTGCATGACTTTGCCATCTCGCGGGCAGTCATGGCAGTGGCATCTGCACGGAGGCCGAACCGATGCCTGGACCGTGATCAGCACAATGCACGAATGTACACAATATTGCACAGTCTCCAGGCACTTTAAAAAACATGAACATCTGGTCTCCAAGCACAAATGACGTCTCCAAAGCTGACTGCGTGGGAGAGGTGCTCGATGTCGCGGCGCAACCCTGCAAGCTCCAGGGAATCCAGGCCAAGTTCAGCGAAGCACTTGCCCACTACGTCCTGCCAGGCAAAAAGAATGCCTAAAAGTGCCAATGAAGCACTTGTGGACACGACCAAGCCACGCAAGGAAAACTCGGAAACTATGCCACTGGCCTTGTCCAGGATGTTCATCTTGCCCAGCTGCTCGTGGATGAACGCCTCCACTTCGTCAATGGTCGCTTCCTGTTGGAGGCTCAGCGAGACTGAGGTGCTGGTTCTGGCAAGCTGTGGCTTGCTTCAAGGCGTTTCAAATCTCTACCGTTGCACATTCTTCCCCGGCAGCACGAGTACAATCTACAGTGACTACAGCTTGATGAATGCTTACTTCGAGGCCGAGGTGCCTGTCTTCTTGTTGATGCTACCTTCCTGTGGCGCCTTCGAAGCTCAAGCGATCTGGACTGTGAAACTGTGCATCCGGCGACAACTAAACTTGCCTCCCCGGCTCGTAGCGAATGAGCACGGCAGCGCCTCGAGCAAAGCAAGGGACTCTTCAGACATCTGCAACACACACACACAACAAAATACCGGAACTTGAATGACTCAATGCGCCTCATGGTTCATGATGATTCTATATATTTTCTGGCTCCATGTGGTCAGTACGACTCCCTGGCCTTGATTTGCGACATCTGACGGCCGGGCATTGGCGACCAGCCCGAGAATCTCAGCACCAGCTTGAGTGTGGAAGGCAAGAACCTGTCGGATCCGGAGATAAGCAGCGCACAATCGGAAGGAATGCAAAGACGCGCGCAGGATTGTGTACGCATTGTGGCATGCTACGACGGGGATCTTTACGTTCTCCACATTCGCCAGGCCATGCGCCGCAATACTTGTGTGAAGGCCCCTTGGGACGGTAGAAATTGTGGGAAAGCAGAACGTCTTCCTTTTCAGATGACCTCTTGCTTACTGCGTGCCATCCGGCGTTGCCTGGCTATAAGCTCTAACCCTCTCTCCCGGGGCTATCGGCAGATGAGGCTGGTTGAGTGATGCTGGGCGCACAGCCATCTCAAAGTCTCAATGCATCGGGACGTTCCGAACAGCATGATGTCACGCATCTAAAGACGGCTTCTGCTGGCCTTGTCGGAAAGCTCGCCTGCAACATGCCTCCTGCCCGTGCTCAAAGCATGATGAACGGAAGAACCTATGTTGTTATCGATGAACGCAGAAAAGGACAGCCGCAAGAAGATCGTGCCACTCTCGGGAACAGCTCGCGGCTGCTGCCGGCCGTGATACTATGACGTTGGCACTCGGCCTTATGTAGTCCTCCTGACCTGAGTCGCAGCCGCATGTACGATTCGAGCGAGAACTCTCGCTTAGAACACATATTTATGCATGCCAGACAAGCAGCACATCTTGAGGTGTCATTGTGAGCGAGTCACTCAAGCTGCTGGCTGCCCAGCCGTCGAAGCGCGTAAGCCCGACAACTGAGTGGACCTTTGGTGGAAAGGCAGAATCACATAATGTACGAATCTCAATGAACCTCACCTCGCACCACAGAACACCATCAGTCTTATCACACCTGAACATCCAAACCTGCCCTGACACGCGACTAAGTGCAGAGGAGCGACATTTGGGTCGACCTGAGCAAGCTGGAGAAGAAGATCTCGTAGCCTCGTCTGCCAGTTGGTGCAAATTGCTTTGTCCCGGCAATTCATCTTGCGAAAAATGAACTTGCTAGCGTGAGTGGCCTGAAACCAAAAACAAACAACGACGCCGCCGGGCTTGGGGCTCCGCGAGGCTCCAACCTTTTCCTACCTTTTCCTTGTCCAAGCACCCTTCCTGATCTTCCTGCAACCAGATGACAATGAGCCGACGCCTTGAGCCTGCAACACAACTGCCACACTGCCAACATGGAGACGTGCCATCGCATGTCATAGACTGACTCTGAGCTAACAGAGCTGACACATCAAATCAAAGAACCCCGACCGTCCGACCTCTGGCAAGGCATGGAGAGCAACCAGCTGTAGCCTTGGTGTCGGTGCTTAATGGGGGGAGAGAGAGGAGCGAGAAAGAGAGAGAGAGAGAGAGCGCGACAGAGAGAGAGCGAGAGAGACCATCCATGGCATAAAGCAATGCCAAGACATGCCAGGAAAATCCAGGAAACACTTCACCGTGCTCTGCACTGGGCTGGGAAGGCTCAGCTTCTGCGTTGGATCGGCTCACGTGGCCCTGCAAGCGAGTGGTGTAAGCCGCCTGGATGCTTCACTCGCACGCGAAGGTATTCATTCATGCTCATCACTCGTCGGTCTTGCAAAGACTGCCAACTGCCAAGGTGCCCCGAGCAGCTTGCCACCTCGCTCGGCGACGAATGTGCCAAGTGGTGCTCGTTTAAGCCGTGAAGCCAAAGTCTCTGGAGATGCCTGAGGGAGCGAGAGTCCCCTTTCGGCATCGCGCCCCGATCGCATCACACGGCTCGTACAAAGAGAACGTCACTTCACTGATTCAAGGACCAGGCCTCCAGCGCCGATGAGACCTGCGCGAAGATGGCAGAGAGTCTTTCGTTTCGACGCAGCAATACGCAGCATGTCGGGCCTTCGCTGCTTGCTGAAGCTGGGCCAGGGCGTCCAGATCCGCGTCATCAGCAAGGCGCACGCGAAAGGGTGACCTGCTTGACAAGAGGGTTCAAAAAGTGCAGCATGGCACAGCTCAACCTGGCCCATGAGCATGGGCAACGTGCATCATGCACACTGATGGCAACTTGTTCGTCAATGCTCCACCTGGCTACTAGGAGACGGATTTTGAGGCAGTGCAAACTTGACATGAAGCCTGGGGAGGGCAGGATATCGAACGTGAGGCGAACTTCGATGTCCCAGCCCTGGACTTTGTCGATTTTTTCGGCGGTGTCAGCCTGTCTCATTTCTTCCCCACCGTGCCTGCTTCATTTCAAGCCTTTTACCATCTTTTACCCTTTTCAATCAAGTGCTGCCATATGGACTACCGACCCAAAGGGATACTGATGCTTGCTGTTTCTCTGCGGTCACTGCCGTCGTTGTGACACCTGATCAGTGTCCCTGTATCGTTTCTTGCCTACAGTCTACGTAAAACCTTAAACTCCAAATGGTCCAAACCCGTAACCCACAAATCATCGACGGTGCAGGCGACTACGGAGGTAGAATTGTGGCTTCAGCGTTGACGACAATGGACTTGTATGATAAGAGCTGGCTGCTCTACACCATGACACAGCCTTTGTGGTCGTGGTCCACACATGAGGTACCGAAAAATGAAGACATCAAATCCCTATTTCATGCGACGGAAGTTGACGTGGTAGTCAGCTGCCAACATGTTGCCCTCCCCCCACTCATACACCACTCAAAAATGTGCCAGTGGTGTAAAAGGCTCTTTCCCATTTTAGTGGAATATGCAGACGCCAAACCTGGTGCTTTTCGTATGAAACCCCATTACGCAAGTCATCCGAACAAGAATGACCCTTGAAGATGTGGTTCCGGGTTGCGCCCACAACGAGAGTGCACCAGCCTCTTCACGTGTTGACTTATGATGCGGCAGTACTCGCCAGACTCCTGAGTCTTGTCTGCAGCCAGCTATGTCATTTATGAGTTTATGAGATTGAATAACTATGTTCAAGTCTTCCGGCGCAACCAAGGGGCTGGATAACACAGCGAGTTTGCATCACTGGTGCAACTGAACAGACCTGCCGATCCACGAGACAATGGACATACAAATAGCGGCAAGCTGCGGAGAACCATAGGTCCCAGGCCTGCTTCCGCCAGGGCCATGCAATAGGCCACCGGGGGCACCAAGTACTGCCTCGACTGCATGTCTCTGAAGGAAGGTGGAATTCGGTGCAATATTGTGATTTGTTTGCGCATTTGTTGCCCTCCACAGCCTCGAGAAGGCCGCCTCAATGTCGAAGTGGAACGACACCTCTCGACAGGCTGCATGGAAGCCGCTTCCACAAAACTCTACATGGCCAGCTGTGCGAAATGCGAAACATTAAACTTGTTCTCGACGATCCCCAACAACTTGAAGTAAATGAGATCGACTCCACTTGCCTGATACTCCGAAGTGCCCTTCACTATGAAGTGTAGCTCGCACCGGATCAAACAAATCAACACCACCTAGAAATTGCACTATGTCCTTTCGGTAGATCACCCGAAACTGGCTCTCAAGTGCGGCGCAGGGTGCATTCTCATCAAAATACTTCACCGTGTTGGGTACATCGAGCAGCATGGCCTGTCCAAGAATACAGTGACAGCCAAGCAGTCGACGGATGTCGACGGTCTGTGCACTGTGCAAGGATAAGGAGGCGTCTTCACTGTACGTCTGAGCCTCAAGGATACAGAGACCATGCTGGCCAGAAGCATCTGCCCACCGTTCAAAGTGCTCCACCAGAGACTGATAGAGATCCTGAAGCAGCAGTAACATCGCCCAGCAACCCGCAGGAACACGTCTTCGAATTTACCGTAGCACATCCTTTCGCGCAAGTGCCCAGCTACGGCTTCGTTCGTGCGGAGAGCTCGTCTGAAGCTTGAGCAGAACTGTTCCAAACCATTCACATCTCTGATGTTCAGAAGTTGTGGTCGAGGCTACCCTTTGACAAAGTGTCGACAGGCTTGATGAGGTCGCCAGCACGGTCAAGGTATGCCGCCTCAGTCGCATTCCAATGAGAGCGCTAAGCTTGCCTCTTCAGCGCTTAGTCCAAACAGCAGAAGACGACCTTGAAAGGCTCTTGCGGCTTCAAACTTCAGGTGTGATCAAGTGTGGCATGTTGAGCTTTTCTAGACGTGGTACATGCCTGCCAGAGACATGCATGGCAATAAACGCACCGTGTTGCCTCGAAACTCGAAACCCTAAGTGTCTTACACATCTCCTGCCTCGCCTTGGGATCTGAAGTCCACAAGTACCATTATGTCTCCCATTCCCATTCCCGAATAATTATGCCAGCCTGATGGAAGTGATGTGCCACGAAGCGGTCGCGAGGACTGCCTCGACAAGGGCCCAGGCTCAGAGTTCGATTCAAAGCTTTCGGCTGGCAAGAGCCTGCTGGAACGGGTCGATCTGGCGGATGGTACGGGCGATCGTGATCCAGGAAAGAGCGCACATGCAGCACCTGCCTCGCACGGCTGCGCACACTTGCAAAAACAGCGCTTGTACTCTACAGACGACAACCACGCAAGAGGCCTGCAAAAACTAGAGGTCGTGGGAAGAGCTGCACTAAGAAACATCCCCAGCCAACTGCGCGCACTCGCGCTTTTAGCCCTTCTGCATCAGAGCAGCAATCCGAAATCAATAACGCCACCAACCCTCTAATATCTCCTGGTGTTGTTGATCGAAATCATTCGAAGTCGATGGCCCTGTCATGCCCTGCCCTTATCACGAAATCGTAGCTGCCTGGGATCAATGGTCCACTGCTGCAGCTCCTGGCAGAGGCCACCTGAAGGCAACCATAGGACCATTAGAGAGCCGTGCCTAAGCGTTGAAGTAACGTCTATGTCGCGTTGCTGTGTGCTGGCACCAAAAAAACTCTAGACTTGGAGATGAAGACAGAAGACTTATGATGAAGCGGTTTCTTGGGTCTTTTCTACGGGCTGGTTCCTTGTGAAGGATATTGAGGGACGAGGTTTATCCAGACCAGGCATAACAGGGTCTCAAGGGCGGATTCATGGGCAAGACTGACAGGCAGGATGGATTCCGGGGTCTTGGAGGATTTGTTGGGCTCTTGACATAGAAACCGTACCATCATGCCAATCATCCAGGTGTAATAGAAATACCACCTGTCTCACCGCTAGTAACACATCCCTTGAAACCCGAACCTCTCAGAAGAGAGACCATTAGTGTTGCATGACAAGGGTCATCTAGACTAGACCTTAACCTTCTAGGCGGGATCCATAATAGACCCGTGATAGAAAGGTCCTAAAGTTGGATATTAAGGGAGAGAGCGGTTAGTTAGGGTCTCATGCGGTTGGACTGGTCTCTAATTTAGCCGGTTAGTAACTCAAGACTTTAAGAATCAGTCCCAGATTAACCACGAACAGGAGCTAGAGTCTAGAGATAGAGGGGGGTTCCTTGCGAAGGATATTGACGGCTAAGTTCCCTTCCGCCGTTTACTAAACCCCTCCCCCAATACAAACAGAAACGCGGACACCCCCCCTCCCCTCCTCACCCTGGGAGGCGGAGGGAGGCATGGAGCAAATTGCCAGGTGAAATCATTTATCATGCTAGGCTACGCCGGCCTGGATCTCCAATGTCTCCCTCAACCAGCAGATGTGGTACGCCCCTGACAGGAGCGGGTCCCATGTGGTGCCTGTGGTCCCTTGAATGTGCCTTGTGAGCAGCGATAACTGTGCTTAGCTGCGACGACACCTTGCCCGAAGCGTGTCGGCTGCAGCACTGCGTGCACTTGCACTCCTTGGTACAAGGCACAGTACGGATATGCCGTAAGTTCGCATAAAAGATCACGCAGGATGGGGGTGTGAAGATTGCAGGTCGAAATTGGGAACGCGCACCTCATGCAGAAAAAGCATACTGCTTTCTTGCCAGCAGAAAAACTCGGTAAATGATGCGTACAAACTTCCGGCGGACGCATGGATCGCACAGAGACTCGCAGGACCTCAAGCTCAAGCGGCAAGTCGATGCCAATCATCGTCAGAGGGAAGTCCTGCAGCACCCGCCCGCGCGGAGTTTGCCTGAGTCACCACTCTCTGCCGGGACTTCTATGAACCTCACTGTTCACTGTCTATATATATATATATATGTATATATATACCATGTAATCTGCAGCGCACGTCTGTCTAGGCCACGCACGTCTTGACAAACTCGTAGATTTGGCCAAGGAGGCTCCCGTCCCCACAGCCTGCAGTGCAAGCACTGGGCACTCCACCACAGCTCTCTGCAAAGACGTTCCGTTGTTACGAGGCTTCATGCAGCGACTGGGCTCCAAACGGCTCTCCTGAGTCATCTCCGAATTTCCCGCTCTCCCTACAATCCCAATTGACCAGAGATGGCCTGTGTCCGCAATGTATCGCGGCTGCGCATCAAAGTCGCTCCTGGTGAAGAGCGGCCGAATGAGCTCGAGGAAGTCACGGAAGAAGACCTCCAGGGAAGGAGCATCAGATAGCATCAGACTAAGTCAAGAAATCTCAGATCATGTCAGAAACTACGGCAGCATGTGGCACCCAACAGCAACAACGTCCATGCAACTGGGCCCCGTCCTTGTGCTGCAAGCCGCTGCCGATCACGTTCAATGCACGATCCACGTGAACCTGCAGGGACTTGCTTGAAGATGCAACTTGGGCAACTTGGCGGCAAGCTGCCTCAGCTTTGGGCGACGAGTCGCCAAAGGCCCACGAAGCATCCTGCGCCGGGTTACAGTGATCTTCGGGGGCTTTAGCAACTTTAGCGTTCATCGAAAGTGCTTCCAGGCAGGGCAACCCGGGACCTCCAATTCCCAGAGAGGGAGACAGAGAGAGAGAGAGAGGGAGGGGCAGATGTAAAGCTGTGCTTGCCAGCAACTTTTGACCACAAGCTATGTAAATGAAGTTCGAAGTGCACCAGGCTCAGTAGTTTCGAATTGCACGGTCAACATTGGCCTTGCAAATGGGGCAGTCTGTGCATCTCCGCAGCCACTCATCGATACATGACTGGTGGAAGACATGCCCGCATGGCAGGCGCCGACAGGGAGTAGCTAGCTGAAAGTCTTCGAGGCAAACCATGCAGGTCTGCTGTGCAGGGGCCACATCTGACGGCGGCCAATTGAAGCTATGGATTTCCTCGATGGTTTGAGGGAAGAGCCCACGCCTCTGGCTCAGCATCTCCTCAAGCTCACGCGTGGTGCGTTCGGAGCTGAGGAGCAACATCTGCAGCCCTTGCGGCAGCTGGGCCACCTGGTTCATCAAATGTGGAGGCAGCAAGTTTCGCAGGGTTGGGGTCAGATGCCCCTGGCAGAAGATGGTGGTGCTTTTCCCGATTCGGGCAACCGCATCGGGCTCACAAGCCACAACCTTGAACTGAACACCCTGATACGTGAAGAGGTCACCGTGCTGGTACTTCTTGTGCGGGTTCGCAACCAGGAAGGGCTTGAGGTAGTCTCCAAACAGCTCGTACTGGTACGCGCTTGGCAATGTGTCCAGAAAGGGCAAAATGTGCACTTTCTCGAACTCTGGAGTTTGGTCCCAGTTGGCAAAGATTTCCGTATCCGTGGAAACCATACCAAGCCCCTGCGGTTCCGTCGCTTCGACCTGCAGGCTCACTTCGCCCACTTGAACGACCTGACCTGTGTACAACAGTCTGACTCTCTTCACACCGGCCGTGCCATACGGCGAGTACTCACCTTTGAAATACGGCCGGACATACTGGTTGAAGAGCTCCTCTGAGCTGAGCGTGCTCGGACCCCACGCGCTGAACTGGATCTTCTGAAAGCCTACAAGTGCCAACAAAACGCATCACCAAGGCCAAACAGAGTCCCAATCGTAATGCAACGCACATTAATTGCATCTTTTTCAGCACTCTGCGCAACACAACCTTGAACAATCATCAGATTAGCGTGATCCCCATATATTCATAGATATTCTCCTCGGCCCAGCCGTATGCGTCAGAGCGTACACTTTGCCCTCTGGCTCCAAAAAGGACCGCAAAACCCCCACCCCTCTCTTCGATAATTTTGGAGGTTTCTGAATGGAGAACCAAGATCTCGTGCACTGGGCTAACCTGAAAGGCCACAAGCACTTCCAGGGCCAAAGGCACACTAGGGACAGGCCCCTGGACCTTCTAAGAGATCTCTAAACATCTTAGGACCCTCTGTGGGATCTTTACTGGGCTAGGTTTGGGGGCCCTATAAAATTACTTTTCTTTCGCTATATAAGGATTTTAAGCGCATTCAAATTCATCAGTGCCAGAACGGGAACATTAGGACAGGTAGTTTTACAGGCGAAGATGTGCGCAAGGACGGGTTTCACACGTAGGGTGACGAACAAATGGCAGCCAAAGCTTAGGCGAAGTCTTCCTCCACATCGAGTTGGTATTGCCAAACAAAAGACTACAAGTACCTGCAGAGATCTGAGATCTACGCTAGGCACGGAGAACATCAGCGAGGTAGTCGTGGGTGCTCTGCGACCATCGGGTCTCTTGGCGTCTCGAAGCACAGCGCTTGCAAACATTGTTCGATGTTGCACGTGCATTTTGACACTCTACCGGACATTGCTGTGGTTGTTCCAGTGTCAACCCTGTCAGGCCATCCAAGATATCCAGGTTCCGGTGAGGCTGTTGACTGTTGAGCACATTTTGATGCTGCTGTTTGCCTGAAGAGGCCAATAGCCCGGTCCCAGCGAGGCCCAAAAACACTCTCAAAGCCCTAGCTGAAGCCTTAGAGGAGACGGTGTAAGAGCGCCAAATTGACGAGTTAAGATTTCGAGGCTTTTGAGTTTCGAGTCCTCTTAGGCCAGCCCAGATGCTACAGTGTTACTCTATGACTTCCTTTCAGGATGCTGACTGGAAAGATTACATGTTTGTTGTGTGGGCAGATGGGAAGGTGGGGCGGGCGGGGGAAGGCACGGCGGAGGGGGGAGGAGCCGACATTGCGCTTCTCTGATGCCGAGAAGCAGATCACTGGCGCTCCGTCGACGAAGAAGTCTGTCTCCATCCCCAGGCAGCCCTGGGGCGGGTCACACTTGATGACCACGAACTCGGCTTCTTTTGCCTTGTGAGAGAATCAAAGAAACTGACAGAATCACGAAAGGCAGACAGGAGAATACCCTGCACGAATCTGCACTTTGTCCAAGCCACTTTCACAAGGTCCCCAGAGCACACCACCGCTTTGGTGTTTCGCAGCTGGCGCAAAGTCTCTGCGAGAAAATCCATTCGCTGGCGGCCTCAGTAAGCGTAAGGGACCCCAAGGCTAAGGATTAAAATGCCACATGCCTTGATGCTGCAAGAAATGGGTTCTGCTTCCGAGCCTTTGATCTTCTTGTCCGCCTCTTTGAGGGGCAAGATGTGAAGCTTCTTGAGGACAACCTGCAATGCACAAATGATACAATGTTGCACCCTGTCACACGTCCCACCACGTCCCCTGCCTCGTCATCATGGGCCTCAGGGGTTGGCTGTGTCGAGGAGCTGGCTTGCCTGGAAAAGCAGAGAGCAGCTTCTTGTGGACTGCCACACACCTAGCCTCCACTCATTTCACACAACACGCTGCTGACTTGAGAGCGCCTCTCCCCATCCTCGTCTGCGCCCATGGCTTCGACTGCTTGCTGGGTTTAACAAGGGACTTGAGCCAACAGCAGTCCGAAGCTCCGAATCCCCGCCAGGAAGCGTCACGTGAGGTGTTAAGATGGTTTGGGGTGAGCTGAGCAACTTGGGTCATGCAATGTGCAGCGATATTTAGGGGTCTGGACTGCTGCGGCAATCCTCGAAGAGGATCTGTCGCATGTTTGCCAACCTGCCACAATATACTGTAGGCACGGTCGTGACATCCAAAGATGCTGCTTTGGAATGACTGTCCCAGCATGTGTCTGCCTGAGATTCTAATGAAGCCGCGGCTTGTGCAACTGAGGCACATCGGCGCGTATGATGATGCGACCAGGAATGTGTAGGTACCTGGGCAAAATCGTGAGTCTGCCCCTGCCGCACAATCCCAAAATCGTATGGGGCATGGCTTTGCTGCGGGTGAACAAATGTATGTCTGACATATCGCAAGACTGCATACGACATGTTGCTGGCTCATGCCAGGATGAAAACACAAACTATTCGGCATCCTGCCCGTCGCGTTTGCCCTTGCAAGGTCCAGGTCGTAGTTCAGCCAAGGAACGCTGAAGTGCAAGAGCTCCGGATGCAGTGATTTGCATGGCACCTGCAACAGTACTGCACAATCTTGGACGACCATCAGCCAAGTATCAGCAGTAGACAATTAATGGACCTGAGAGCAACTTAGAAAACTTACAGAGAGTTACCCTTACAGAATTTACCGCTTACAGTGCTCACAGATTTTGCACAGGCTATGTTGTGTTACAGTGGTTGGCTCTTCGGCGAGTCGCCTTGCTCGTAAGAGCCCACCCCAAGCTGCCGCAGGAGCCCGTCCTGAGATGCTCAAGGAGATGGGGGCGTCGCATGGCTTATCCCATGCTCAGCATACTCAGCATGCTCTGTCAAGACAGGCGACGAGAGTCTTTGTCCACTTTGGCTGCACTGCGAGCATCTTCTCTCCCAAAAGAGATGACGAGCCTGCCCAAGCAGGTTGCACAAGGCGCAGCACACGACTCGCTGTGCTGAGCTTAACCCATACTCGCCATACTCGGACTACATTTCGACATATTGCGACAGTGAGCCCCAACCTTCTCGGCGAACAGCTGCAACTAGAGACCTGGACATTGCATACAAAGCTTTGCCAGGCTTCTGCTGCATTCGCCCATCGCGACCAGCAGGAAGACACTCCCACAGGCAAGCTACGCTAAAAGGGGCGTCAGGATAGCGCCATCCAGCAGCTGAAGGCCGGCAGAAGCCTGGACGAGCTTGGGCATCCCTATCTGTCAGGCCGTAAACTTGTCCCCCGGTAGCTTTCGGGCACCCGACAGGGGTTGAGAGTGTCAACATGCTGTGGCTTGCAGATATTGGAAAGGCAAAAGGCAGGTGGCATGCAGGAGCGAAAGGTGTCGTTCTGTCGGCACATGGGTCCACAAGAGTTCGTCATTCGTTGGCCTCTGTTCGCCACGGTCGTGTCTGCCACGCCTGGGGTCGCTTGGCGCAAAGGCCACAGAGTCATGCATAGCGAGGTACACAGATACACAAAGAGGCCTGGAAGCAAGCGGTCGCCTGAGGCGAGTCCAGGGCAAAAGGAGGCCAGGCCTCCCAGAGGTGCGAATGGCAGCAACGATTCCATTTTTCCATGTGTGCCCTGTCCTCTTGCTCACATCCTATGAGGGGATGATGGGACCCTGTTTTTCCTACGGTGGCAGGAATATCCAAGGGCGGCAATGATTTTGGAAGCAGCGTTCGCCCTTAACGCAGCATGCCTATGATACTGCGGTCTGCAGTGGGCATCTATGGTCCTCTATGGTCCTCCCGGGCAAGAGCATCTTTTTTACAAACCTCAGGGTTACCCCACCTGCTGGTAAACGCTGCGTAACAGGACGTCACAGGGACCACCAGCAGCCAGGAGCTTCACCAGCGCCTCACGGAGAAAAAAAAACGCCGGCATCAAAAGTTGCAGCATGTCAAGCATGTGCATCGTTGTAGCAGTACAGCCAACTGCCTTATACTGCCTTTATGATGAAAATCTCCAGGCCTCCAGCTCCTGCGACTCCACAGCTGAAGCACTGCCTTCTGCATCAAGGCGGACCTCATGAAAGGACTGACGCAGCATGTTGTCCAACGGATTCCAACGGTCTATCGCAATGACAGAACTCGACCTATCTATACGACATACTGTTGCTTGTCTTAATATTGGACTTAAGCGTCTCACACTTTTACTGCGCCTCTGTGCAAGCTGGGAGCATAGCCCAGCACCTGCATTGCTCGCAGCAGCACCTGCTCTCAAAGGTGGGCAATACTGGGCAATTCAGGACCAGGACCTCAAGAAGGAAACCACTCCACGAATTCTACGTTTAAAGTTCCCCTACCTAGTCATAGACTAAGTATCGGGGTGCAAACTGCGCGGCGGAAGCATGCGGCGGGGCTTGCGGAAGCGTTGCTTCGTGCATGCAGTGCAAACTGTGCCTATATAGTGCAACATGGTTTGGAGCATCACTTGCCACGACCCTTACAAGTAGGAGTATTAGCATTTGTGCTTGGGCATCCCAACCCTCCGAGTCTCGCAGTCAGTCGCAGTCCCACAACGAGGCTTCCCAACCTCCCCAAACCTCTCCGACCCCATGGAGGTCTCGTCGACGATCGTCGACGCCGGCATACGACGGCGGAAGCTCCGCAGAAGCGCGTGTGTCCATAAATATCAGGGCTCTTCAAGATGTCAAAACAGCTCTCGCGAACAGCATCATTCCAGAAACTCACAGAGTAGCAACGTAGCTCCTGCAAAAGCATCTCAGATGCACCGTCGCGCTCGCGAAATGCATGAAATCACCCGTGCTTCCACAAAACAACTCTCAGTCCTAGCTGAGCCCACTGAAACTGAAAACTCGCTGAAGGGCTCTGCAAGAGGATTTTGATTTTTCGCTGTGAAAAGACATGACGAATAGGATGCCAAAAGAAGAGTGGATCAGAAAAGCTCTAGCGCCACTAAGCCCCAGTGACAGAGAGGCTGAGGCTGAGAGGGGGAGAGAAGGATAGACTGACCACGGTATGTGGCACAAGAACCCCTTGAGCTGATTCCTTTCACATGGCTCTCTTTTTCTACACTCTTCCTCTCTTTTCACCGGATCGATGGGTTGACCGGGAAACCCACCCTCAGCGGCCCCTCGTGGCCCTTCGGCCGCTCGCCGCGGCGCAGTGAAGGCAGCACCACCTCTCAAGCAATTCTTATAGCCTGCTCTCCAGAAGAGAGACCCACATAAAGTAAGAGATAGGAGAGGGAAGGGAGAGAGGCAGAGGAACTTTAAGTCGCTGAAATATGCTGAAATCCACTCGAACCTATTTGGCATTTGGCCGACCACAAGACATGAGAGGGCACCTGTACAAAGTCGAGCAGAAGCGGCGTTGAAACCTGACGACACAGCAAGCGAAAGCCACAAGCATCCTACAAAGTCGTATACTCGATCTTTTGCCAGACTCCTCTCAGTGGTGCAGCGAGTCGCATAACCATGTGCCAGGCGTAGCGCGCTGCTGAAAAGAAGACTTGTTGGACTTGTTGCAGCGGCCGGCTTCTTTGGCACCTTAAACCGCTAAAAATGATCGAGCATGCTTTCAGCTCGCCCCCAAGTTTGAAGCCACAGCTGCACCATGTTTTGCTGCAAGTGCATGCGGACCGTCATCATTCCAAGGCTGCTACGACATCGCCACAAACACTTCGAAGCATCGCATGCTGTAGTCCTCGTGACCAGCATTTAGATCTTTGCGAAAGCTCTGAGACTTGGATTCTTTCAAAAGCTGAGCAGAGCGACACACGAAATGCCACGAAGTCTGCCAAGGTTCCCATTGCATTGGGTTCAGGGACGGCAGTGAAACCTTGCGCCTCAGGAAGGCAGGCTAAAACTTGCACACAGGCATCCAAGCACAGCGTGCAAATGCGTGCAATGATCAAATGTACGAGTACAAAATGCTGTACGAAGCCTCATAGTGGGCGCGGAGATGATCGGCCAGCTGTGCAGAGCGGCTGTCAACGATCAGCAGAATGAAGTTGTAGCCTAGAGGCAGACGGGAGCCTGTATTTTGTTGCCATCTTTCCTCTCAAGCGTTTTGCCTTCTTTCACGAATCCTCATCAATCCACGAGTAAGATCGGAGGCAGGGCGGCCCCACCCACCACCCCACCTCCTGATGTATCAGACTCAAAAGGGAACTCCAGCCAAGCAGCCTCGGGTGTGCAGCACATCGAGCATTTTGCTGAACCTTGCGCAGGGCTTTCAGAACTTGCCAACTCTAAAGTGTCTTTGGGGCGACCAGGCCACTTGTCCTGTCCTACCCTGTGCTACCCTGTGCTACCCTGTGCTACCCTGTGCTACCCTGTGCTACCCTGTGCTACCCTGTCCTACCCTGTGCTACCCTGTGCTACTCTGGGCCCAGCATGGCTCAGCAGTCAGCCAGGGCGCATGCGGCGGTCGAGGCCCAGGCCGCGCGCCGTGGGCGCCACAAACTGTGCCACCCACACCGCCACAAAGACCTGCAACAAAGCGAAGCGGCGAAGCACCAGAAAAAGAGCGGCCAAAGTTATGAACCTGAAGCTGCGCTGGCCTCTTTCAAATCAGGCATTCCGAACAGGTCTCTCACCAGAGAAACCATCTGCGGCCTTGCAACGTGCAAACGCGAGTGCAGCTTTCGCATCTATGGGCAGACTATGGGCAGCGAGTTGCCGCTGTTCTGTTTACAGACCCAACGCCGCTACGTCAAGATCCAGGTCTGGCTTGCAGGGCGAAACTGGTTTTCAGGATGGCTCAACTGTGTGTGTTTTTCGCATGTCCGTCCTCTGCATCTGAAGCGAAATCTCATGGAACAAAGATGATCATGTCGAACCCTGAAGCCAACGGACCATCGGACCGGGCTCTGTATAGACAGCATGGGTCGAACCGGGGCCGGCCGTCGCTTCTGACTGAGACGGAGCAACTTGAGGAAAGTTGCAGCGGGATGCTGTGGGAGCTTCAAGGTTTGCATGCCTTGGAGGTCTCACCGGCTCGGTCAAGCTTGCTCAAGCACGGGGCCTCTCCCGGCCCAGACCCAATGGAGAGGACGGCTCTGGCAAACAGATGCGAATGTGGGTACGTGTAATGACAAGAGCAGGCTAAGCGGAGATGTTACGCATCACGACCATGTTAGAGAATCAACGAGACCCATAGAGCATCATAGTCTGACTCCTAAAGAGAAATTGGAATGTACACTAGCACGGATGACGACGGACGAAAGACTTCAACACAAGAAAACACCGAGAAGCACATTGAGAAAAGGCAACCAAGGCTGCAAGCAAGCATTGCTGGCCCACAAAACAATCGATGCCCAAGCCCTCAAGTCATCTTAGCACCGGCCTCCCAAGCTTGGCGCAACCTCGTTATGTCTGATCATCTGTTACATTGCAGCCGGGTGACTGCTGCATCTTCCGGGGGGGAAGCCTGCTAACGCGTGGCACAACAGGCACAACATGGAAAACGGAGAGCCCCCAGCAAACTCAACACCTTCCTTCTTTTTCCGCCGGCCTTAGCACAGCACGACCCGCTTCTGCCTGGCGCCACCGGGGTCGGGCAGATAGAACCTTTTCAGGATAGTGTTGGACTTCTCACAGTATTGCACTGTTCATTCCTTCTGCCAGGGTACGGCGGAGATCTTCAATTCCTCTGCCCCCTGTCTGCTGACTTGCGGCACCACCTACTCAGGGTCGGCTAGGTCGTGAAAGAGTTCGCGCTGACACCGCGCACTCTTTAGGGTTGCGAATGCTAATGGGACGGGCGTGAAGAAGACCCAACTTCTTCGGTCCTGCTATGTGCCGAACTGCCAGCTCCGAACTTCGGTTCACAAAAAGACGGAACTGATAGCGGATAGAACGGGATCTGGGAGGTATGTTGGATGTGGCCTCGAATCATGTGTTGCTGCTGTGTACAAGGACTAGTTCCTATGTTTTTACTCAAGCAGCTCCGATGATTGAATTGCCGACGGCACCAAACCGCCAAGCTTTAACCGCCTTAATCTCGACGGCAGTGTCTGCAGGTAGCAGGGCTGCGCGCGAACGCGGAAGAGTCAGCCACCTGCACGTGCATCTGTCTGTGTGACAGCTGCGTCTGGCCTACGAAGATCCTAGTCCTAGGGAAGGTAAACTAATGCAAACTAGGGCAAAGTTGGCTGAAAGTGCCTGGCGGCAGCTCGCAGTGGATTGGGCCAGCGACGTGGTCCGTCTTCAACCAAGACCTCCGGCCGAATCCAGCGAAAGTCGCAACAAGCAAAAAAAAAGTAAAACGAACTCTCTGCCTCAAAGCGCCCCTCCACAACGCGGCTTCTCAGTGTCTGCAGCTTGGTGCGGCGACAGAAGAAGCCTTGCATCTAAAGGGATGGAATGTTTGCCTGGAAACACCGGCTAATGAATTCTTCGACAGAGCCTTCTCTGAGATGTTATTCGTCTTTTTCAGAGATTTCAGAACACCTCCATTCAGAACATGTCGCGAAAGAGTGCCCCTGGTTGTTGCCCAAGACGCGGGCAAGGAAGGCCACGAGTTCGAGGAACACCAGGAACACAAGAGACTGCAGAGCTTGTTTGCACACACTGAGAGTCGCTCTGGTGGTTCTTCAGACTTATGACTGACACCCTTCCATCCAAGTGACAAGCGCACCTTTGCGTGTGAGCAAATGGAATCTGCCGAGCTACTGCTGGCAACAAGGTCTTAAAGCCTCCTCCCCCAGAGTTCGGACGCCACGCCCGGGACACCAAGCACCCATCACCTCAGGGCTAAAGGTAAAGACTTTCCATGTTCGTCTTAGAGGAACCAATCCAAACAGCGCTGCACCTAAGCTCTAAGCCACGTAGCTGGTTGTAGTGGTGAAGAAGATTTGGAGAGTTGGACATGCAAACCCAACACTTCCACAAACGCAGTTTGGAGCTGATTCTAGATTCTTAGAATATCTTCTCATGCCCGGCCTCCCCGTTGCGGAGATCAAACTTCGTGCCCAACACTGCGCAGTCTGCCCTAAGGATGCGCCCGTCAAAGAGCACGCCAGGCCCAGAGAGGGGCTGGAGCCTGAGGCAGCAGAGTCGCTCAGCAGCAAGCTGTTTGGAGACCTCCCAAATGCAACACGCTCCCTTCTAAGAGTCTAGGTTCGCTTCGATTTTGCACCACCCTCAGAAGGAATGGGCCTTTCGTCCAGGATTTCAGGACACTCGGGTTTTGGCTCCTGCTTTCTCTGACACTCGACGCCTGACTTGAAAGGCGCTATTTCCCGGCTGTCAAAACAAATGTGCAGAGAAAAGCGCGGGTTCTGGAGGCATGAAGAGCAATGACTTCCAGCAACCTGACGGCATGCACAGCATGCACCATCGCGTAGCCGAAACACAGTGGGGGTAGAGCATCATCGGCAGCGTAGAGATCACCATCCTTGCCTGGCCAATGATGATATAACGGCAACGAGCACAAACGCGCGCGCACACACACACACAAGAAAGCACACACACACACACACAAGCCACACAGGGGCTGTAACTACATAGAATGATACCGACATGGTCACATGTGAGTCCGCGTCGATTTGCGATCGATGAATCAGGGACTGACGTGGGATTGCAACTCTGATCTAGCTTTCTGGTCGTGGAGGAGCGTCTTACTGGAATGTGGAACAATGCATATGTTTTCCACATACAGGGAACGCCTGGGCAGGCACATCTGCAAAGCGACTGGAAGGGGGGCCCGTAGCCGCTCTTGGGGCACATACGGTCTTCTGCATATTGACAGAAGGCTCCGCAGTGTAACGTTATGGCTCGGACGATTCCACACACGCACAACAAAAAAACGGACACAATGGGCCCACGCACGGTACTAGCAGTCGCTCGAAGAGAGCTTGAAGAAGGGGAGGACTTGCAATGTTAGATCCTGACTTGACAAATCGAAATCGCAACTGAGCATGGTGGGACTTGCTGTGAGGGTGCGGCGCCCAGCGATTCAGCCCTCACACCCTGCGGAATGATTTGGTCAAGGCTCCGGGACAGCTGGGTTTCACCTGTTCTGGCGATCCACGGTGCACTTCAGTCATGAGTTGCTCCAAATGCCATCTAAGACTTGCTGCTGCTGGCATCAACTGTCTGCTTCTGGCGAAAGGCGGGTATCTGCTGAAGCTGGTCGCGAAAACAGGCCATCACATCCTGTGATGGCTCTCCAAAGCTTTACCAAAAAAGTCGGACACCGACAGCAAACTCACACTTGGAGCTAAACAGCTGCCAACGGCAGCGGTACCGACTGCGGAGGTCTTCCGGCAGCAGAAAGAAATCGAGCCAGCGGAGGCGAAGGAAACCCATAGTGATATGAGAAAAATGGCACACGGCGAAGTCGATCACGGTTCACCCAGTGAGGTGGCAAGAACTGCCGGTCTTCAGTTTCTAGCGACTTTTCGACTGGCATGTGCATTTAACCAGCTTGTAGATACATGGTCTTACACGCAGCATGTCTCGCTGTTTTGGCACACTCGCTCGCGATTGCGAAAGACGACGCTTTGTGCAGAATCACCTTTCCTCCTAGCTGTTGTAACCTCGTGCACCTCGCGAGCTCACCAAAAGGTATCACCTTCAATTTTTTAGTTGAAAAAACCGACTGCTCTTGCAAACAAACTGTGAATCTGATTTGTTGAGCATTCGTGGCAAAGTTTCGCAACTCAAGAACCCTGAAATCATTGCAGGCGTTAGCAAATGGTGCGTCATCAGAAATTCTGCGGTGCAACTGCTGGGCTGTTGCCTCGTAGAACCGCCACTTGGCGGCCGCGGCATGGAAAGGAGCAGACACTCCCAGGCGGCGGCAGCTCCTTCAAGTGCAAAGGATGCTCCAAGTTTTGGCTGCATTGGCTTCAGCAGGCTTTCGTAACAGATACATACACCAACCTGCTCAGGCGCGACGCAGGTCCACATGGCCACATCAGGTGCTTCAGCGGCAACAATGGCGCAGAAGCTCCCACTGATGGGCTAGCTCGTCATTTTCGCTGGCAGCCGCTCAGATGTACTAATGTTGCTGCTGTCCGTGAGTCGAATGTCATTGCTCCGGCCAGCGCTGCGAATTTAGGAGAGATGGCAGAACCTTTGGGGCTTTTGGCCATGCAGTGCCCGCACGCGGGTTGGAGATTCGCGTAAAGCACTAAGGCTGAAGCCAAACGGATACACACACACACATAAGACAGCAGAGTACAGATGGCTGAAGCAACGGCATGCACATAGGTATGGATAGAGAAACTACCTTACTTGCTGAAGATAGGAGGCAATGCAAGACCTCAGAAATATCACAGCAACATCGCCACCACCCACATCCGCATCATCAGCATCATCATGATCAACGCATCAGCGCCAGGCCGTTCGACCCAGATCACCGTCAGGCTTCTTCTTGAAGCGTCGCTCTAGAAGCCTCCCACAGGGGTGATTGAGAGCATGGAGGGCGTTGCTGCAAAGAATGCCTGCTATCAGCGCAGACTCCATCGTGCAGAGATGCTTAGCTTATGGTCTGCTTCTCTTACAAAGGCCGGCCCACAATCTGGCTGACAATACCGCACTGGGCGTGCCCTTTGATCTTGTCTGGTTCTTGTAAGGCAGCTCCTTCCTGAGCACACAAACATCCATTTCTGGCGAAGTGTGGATGAACTTCAAGAAGCATTGGCCTTGACTGTGCAGTTCTGGCATCAGTCTTCTTCCCTGTTTGGCCCTGGGCCCCCCACAGTTGCGTTCTTCATTGCCTGTGGCACAGACACCCTACCGAACTGCCAGCTTTGCTCGCGCCACGTCTTCTCCCTGCTCTCTCAACATAATATCATATTTGCTGCCGCCACGAGCTTCACATGTCACAGGATGATGCTTCAAGTGTCATCAGACAATGCCGTCGACTATGTCACACCTCCTCAGCATTCAGCTGTGGGAAAGGTCGCTTATCCTGCGAGCGCAATGCTTCAAGATCGACAGGTTCTGCCAGCGGCACCAACCGAAGGTGAGCACAGCTGGAAAGTTCGTGTGCCTTGACCAGAAGCTTCGCGAAGGCAATAGCATGCTGAATGTTGGCATCGACCACCCTGACCATGTGAGTGCTTGTGCTCTGCACTGAACACGCTTCTGAGCTGACCACATTCAGACTCCATTCTTCAAAGAACATACCTGCGACAGTGGCTGCGCAAGTTGCACCTCGTTTCTGTGACATCGCAAAGGTTCCAGTCCAGGTCGGCCAGTGGGAGTGGGGGGAAGCACACCTGCGCTTGTAGAAAACTGCCGCCATTCCAACTGCCAAACTGCCAAGGACCCTGTGCTGTGAGCGCATTGGCTTCTTCATCCACAACCGGCCTCAAGTCGAGTCTCCCCTTCCATGATGAGATTCATGGTCCTGGCGAGAAGTCGAGAAGACCGGAGATCGGCAGAGTTTTTCTACACCAACTACAATGTCTAAAATGTGACCAACATTCTGTTCCTTTTAGCTGCACAGAACGAAATCATCCTTGAGGCAAATTTTGAGGCAATCGGGAAACTAGAACGCCCACTTTTGTTGCTGGATGGCTCTTGCACGCGAACAGAACATCTGTGGTCGTTGTTGGGCTCCAGGCGGCCGTGGCACTAAGCACATGTACTGGTACCCTGAGTGTCGTGGTGCTCTAACCTAACTTTCAACTTTGGCGTGGTAGCTGATGAGGTCTTGAGCATCCTCAATCTCTCCCATTAAAGGCTCAAGTGGCGGCCGTTTAGTCTTCCCCTGCTGCAGTATCGGGCCCCGTCTGTTCCAGGCAAATGTGTCAGGGTTGATGCGTGCGGTTTGCATAGCAGGATGCACCAAACTGCAGCCAAACATGCTGTGCAAGACGAGTACTCAGCTGTCTGCACCTCACTGATGCAACCGCTTTGGCCTCTTTGGTATTCTTTGGCCTCTCTATGCCTCTCTCTGAGTCGCTATGCCTCAAATGAAGAGCACAAAGCGGCTGGCCAACTGAGGTCCGCACAATCTCAGCGAAGGACTTTGGCCAAGGAAAGATCTTCCTCCCCTCCTCGTCCTCGCGACAGCTCAACGGTTACAGCGCCCGCGCAAACTGTGCAGGATGATCCCGAATTCTATTCTCAGATTCTCCATGATTCTCCTCTGTTTCCATAAGTCACATGCCAATTGAGATCGACCAGAACTGACAACAGAATTGACTGCAGACGCACTGATTCTGCGCTCCAGCTCCCAAGGATCCGGTGAAGGTGGCATCTTCTTGCGCGCGCCCTGAGACCCACGCGCCATATGCTCATGTGAGGTTAGGTGCGCAAAGCTTAAGCAGAACTGGACCTAAAGAGCCCGAAGTGTGCAGTGCCTCCGACTTGGGAGTTTTTCGAGGTGATCGGGAGCGCAGTCTTGCCAGTGTCTCCTGCATTGGAGCAAATGTTTCGACGGGCAGTCTTTTCAGTAAGGCATGTCCGCCGCTGCCACACACAAGTACTGGGCAACTGCATCCAGCACTATCAGAGGATCACAGGTGTGCTCTGAGCTGGCCTTCGCGATGCTCCGGGAGGACTGCGCAGGGCACACAGGGACACCATGAGAGCTCGGCCATCAGATGGGAGCATCCAGGTTAGAAAACATGAAAGACACGTCTGGGCATGCCTTGTCTGCAAGACTGTAGGAGTCATGCTCCGCCGCAATGAATCTAGATTTAAAGATCACATCCAGTTGGACTTCAGAGCAGCCACGAATGAAGCTGGTGCTGGTCCACGGCCTTCTTCTTGCCCTTGGTGGAAGTTGCCTGCATAGATGACGAGTTTCAAGTTCAAGAAGCTCCCCCATCTCTTGCATATACTATGTTTTGGCCCAATTGAGCCTTCATTGGTTCCACTCAGCAAAGCGAGAGTATTTGATACTGGCAAGTATTCTAGTCTTGAGTCGCCAGTGGCATCGCAACTGATCCCAGCCATGCAGCAAGCAAGCAAGCAATGTTCATTCTCGTCCGAGTATCCTGTCTCAAGTATTCCGAATGGCATCTACCCGCCTGCAGAAGAAAAAATAATATCCAAGCAAGACAGAACTAGCAGGCAGCCCCGAAGCCTTTTATGTTCAGTCCATGTGAGGTGCGTGTTTTTGTTGTTTGCGTCTGGCATTGGCTTTTCAGACATCGACTTGGCCTGACATGCTCTTCATGAATGCATCTATAGACTCCCTTCGGATGACAAGAAAGAGTCTCGATTCCGACGAAGACTACTGTGAGCTGAATCGCTCCACACCCTCAAGTCTTACATAAGACGTAGATCTTGAACTCCGAGTCAAGAGGTCTACTACGCCATTCACATATCACCACGCAACGATGATAACGTGACAAGAGGACCCGATCTAACAAATTGTTGCCAACCGTCGCAAAATGTCGCAAATGAGCCCCAAGGCTGCGGAGCAAAGCAGTTGAAAGTCAAAACGGATCTGAAGCCCTAAATACATTGAGCCGAACCAGTTGTTCATGAAAGGGGCCCTGGCCTGCATTGTCACTGCGGTCCGCCTGGCTGGGGCTGCGTATCCGTGCCAACTTCGGGTTTCTGGATAACTAGGGGTCTTTATGGGTCTGGCAGTAGGTGAACCTTGCTGTTTATCTAGCCATGAGGTGCTTTTCGCATTGCCAGTTGTTCGGATCTCTGTTCACGGCGCTGGCCGCTGGCTGATTTGTTTCAGGTTCTTCGCTGTGTTCATGGTGAATGCTGGGGACCTAGGGACCTCGTGCCACTCGTCGGCGAGTATCTCGCCGTCGTTCTTTCTGTGGCAAGAAACTGGCCAAGTGACTTGTACGCATTTTAAGAAGGTGCACTATCTTGCGTTGGCTTAACCTACAGAAGAACCCTGATCATACCTTGACTGCGTACGAGGAACTGCCCGAGGCGAGTCTTAAAACAGCCCGAGCCGAGACAGGAGAGAAACAAAGCCCGAGCCCTTAACCCTAAACCCTAAACCCTAAACCCTAAACCCTAAAGCCCTAAGCCCTAAGCCCTAAACCCTAAGGAGCACAGCTTGGCATCTAATCTAAAAGGAGTCTCTGACGCTCCCTGAAAACACAGGAAAACATATCTTGTGCTGGCATCGCCTTTTGGCCACCACACCCGCCACAAAGGCTGCGGCAGCTGCTGCAAGCGTCGACGGCATGCCTTGATCGAGAAGGTTGCTTCCAACATTACAAATGCAGACTTGGGGTCAGCATTCTCGAGTTTGGCCCCAAGCATTGGTGCGTGCAGATGTGAGGAAGGTGAAAAAAAAAACAGACTATTTAGGCAATGGTAAGATGAGGCGAGCGCCTCGCTCCGGAACTTGCGTGGCAGGTCCAGGCTTTGAGGCGAGCCTTCGGGGAAGATTCTCGGGCAAGCTCGGACACCCCTCGGGCCACTAGGGCGCAGGGGCCCTTCAGAGCTGACTACTGAGGCACCTCGCGACCGGAAGTGAGGGTGGTGCCGCACCCACAAACGCCTTGCAATGGTCTGAGCATATCTTGCGGTTGCTTGCGTTGCCTACTCAATTGGATAGTTTCAATAGAGGCGCGGAAAAGACGTTTACACACATATTTACACATATTTACACACACAAGCACACACACACAGAGACAACAACATGCACAACTCCAACCTCAGCGAGGAGCGCCATGGCAACTGGCGAAGCTGCTACACGGAACGTGACCGATGGCTCCGAGCTGATAGCTGATTCAACCGCGTTTTGAAGGCTTATCCTTCAAAGTCAGACGTAGCTATCTGCAACACGTAACCGCAACAGTATGGGGAAGTCTGCGTGTTGGTTGACTTTGCAGTGCCTGTTTTCAATGAATCGGCGCCGGAGAAGCGAGTACCAATCGGCAACTTGAACAATTGCACACATTGGCCTACGTAAGTCTTCAACGCTGCACCCCGCCGGCTACATCCAACAGCATCACAAACGTCTCAAAATTCCCAAGATGGATACAGGACAGCTATAAGCAAAAAGATGATACAGAGGTGATTGTGAGCAAGCGCGAAGCCCAGATCCTGATGCCAATGCCGCCCTTGCCCCGTCTATGCAGACACCCCACCTTTTGGCCCAATCATTTCCAATCTCGTGCTGTTCCTTGGGCCTAATGCGTCTGTCTGCAGCCCACGTTTGCGATGGCACAGACACGCAGTAGATAAAGATGTCCAAAGCTTCGAGCAGTCACGGCAGCACACCGTTGTACACCTTTCATCTGCTCTGGCGCGTAAGGCTCAGGTGCCACCGCACGAAAAACACAAAGCCCAGAAGCCCATTGCTTTCTGGATTCCGCCACCTCCTCTTGGAAAACCAGTGGCTGATCGTCATTGAGTGACCCGAGTGTCATGTCAGGATATGACTGCGTGCTGAAAACTCCGAAAGTCTGCATGCCTCATGAATCCTTGTGAGGAGGCGTGTCCAAGATGTGTGCAGTTTGTACAATTGCCTGGCTATTCATCCAGCAGGTGTCATGACCCTCGAAGAACTGTCAGTCAGCAGTGTACGGCAAAGCCCTGGCCCTATGGCCTTATATAGTTTGTGCTGCTTCGAATGTCTTGACTGACAGCTTGCAGGGCATTCATTCGTTGCCGGGCCAAGCCAGACTTAGATGTGTTCTGGAGAGGCCAGAACGGGCTACTCGATTCTTTCTGGATGAAGTCCCTGGACATAACATTCGATTCACATCCAACATCGGCCTCTCAGCACACATCTGAATCATTGCGAAAGACCGCGCTCTCAGGGAGCGCCCACCTTAGCTACATTTGCCTGAGACTCAACGAGTACAATGAATTGACCTGTCGTGTGAGAAAGTGGCGCAAAAGAACAAGTCGAGTACCGTGAAAAGCAGAAGGTCCCAGTCCAAGGAGCTACTGTCAGGATCTGCAGACATGATCTGGGTTGCTCCGATCCGGCTCCCAGGTGTCGACCAGGCGTGCCTCGAGAGTAAGCGACGAAAAACCTACGAAAACCAGGGTTGATCGGAACTGGAATCCTTGGGCAACACCTTGCCTCTCTTACAGTCTCTGCTCTTGATGGGATACTGATATCGATGCTCAAGTCGTGAGAGGACAGGAGCAAAGGATGAGCCCAGCTTGCTAGACGCAACCGGACCATTCCCTGAGCGAATCATGGGTCATCAGGGATGAGGGCCTTCACACGTTGCATGAGCATACGCTGGTTCACCTAAACACGCGTCAGGCGATTTGTATACAGTCACTAGCATGACATGTGTGTGTCCGTGCACCGTCCGCAATATTGTTGTCAATGACTCTGCCACATGAGCATCAGTCAAAACTTCGGTTACTTGATAGTGAACCAAGGTGGCACATCAAATGCCAACATGCGGTACAGTTATGCGATCACTTGAACAATCACACCCCCAGAATACAGAAACCTGAGCCCTCACAGTTGGAAGCGACACAACAAAGATGGCCGTTATTATGCGGAAGTGCTTGGTAGATGCCCTGGCGCATTCGACCCTCGAAGCCCCACATCCCGCAACGCGTCCACATGTTTCGAATGTTTCGAAGAAGTAAAGAAACGGGAGGAGTTCTACTTGAAACATCTTGGAACATGCGTGATATCAAAGACCTGCAAACCGATTGGACCAGCAGGCCTTGATGGGATCATCGGCTTCCTCCGATGCTGGGAGGCGTGAGGCAAGCTGTGTCAGTGCACGTCACTACTGTCGAATCCTGCAGAAAGACCGGCATCTTTAGAACTGGGCACAGTGCGCACATGTGCTCACGCAGCCTCCTCGACGGAGGAGTGCCCCAACAGCATGAAGCGACTCTTTGCCACCTTCGTGAACATCCATCCGAATGCTTTGCGCATGCACAACCAGGTGGCAAGGTTACTTACTCACAAGGACTCCAGCTGAGAGCAGCGCCAGCCCATAGCCCCAATCCCGGAGGAAGCGCGGGATCACCTGCGCTAGTGGCCCCAGCAAAAGCTGCGCTGACGCGTAAACTGAGGCGTGCCAAACCCTGCGCAGGTGAGCCATCACAAAAAAATAAAAATAAATAAAAACATCGCATCAACAAGAAATGTAGGTCAAAAGCGGATTGCATGAAAGAGGGAACTGTACGAGGACCGCAGCAACAAACCGCAAACTCTTCACCTGACACCCGCC